TTCCCGTCTCCACTCGCGGGGTTTTGCGAACCCCGAGGATGCGGGTTCAGCAGGTGAGCAGACACTCTCATTAATTAGTGCATGCATGAGGATTCGCATCATCTTGCAATCGAAGGAAAATGCTCTCCTGAATCATATCATAGAATCAATGTTTGCGCAGCGTCAGAAATCGAGCGTCGAGTAAACACGGAATCCCAACCACCAGCGCGTAGAGAGAGCGAGACGGGACATCTGCAAAGACCACTTTATCGGTATCGATCGATGACGCAGGTTGATGCCGCGGCTCGGATTCGATGCTCCTACCTAACCGGACAGAAACTCATCTCGACAGATGTTCCCTTTCGTACAAGACCTCTTTCGAGTTACCGCCATATAATATTGTCGTGTTCCAGAAACCAACGAGGAAACTCTCTCTTTGAGAAACTCGATGCAACGGTGCTCCGAGGCTCGTGTCTCGTGTCATTTTCATGTCCGGCGTACGCAATCGACTTCGTTGTCGAACGGATTCGGAAAGGCATCCTGCCGTGGGGTCGCTCATATCTCATAATACATAGTGGAACGGATTCGTAACAAAATTGTCAGATCTCCCGCCAATATTAATCGTCACGTTCAGCGTGTAATCCGCTACCAAACAATAGACGTGACCTGTGCGTCATTGAGTTCGTCCTGAGGGGACCTGCGGGCTGCCGGCCGCAGTCAAAATTATTTTCTACGGACTCCCAGAGAACACCGTCGAATGACGTTGGGTTTGCATTAGGTGACTAGCCGATGCTCCTGTCGAGCTTACCCGAGCTTCGAAGGTTTTAATGAATCTGAATGTCTTGAGGACCTGTGGATCGAGTGCAGCCATGATGGACATTCCCGTACATTCTGGCCGGAACACATATGTTCCCGTCTCTGTCCGCAGCGGACCCATTGCAGGAAGGCAAAAAGTTATCTGGAGCATGACTGCGGCGACAATGACGCTCCAAGTGAGTAAAGTCGAGGAGGACAGTGCGAGCGGCTCGCGTCGCTCAATCAAAGTCTCTCAGGGAATCCTGGAACGCTCGATAATGCGCCACTCTGGCGGTTGGGAAATCACTTACGACTCGGATCTCATAAACTACAAAGACCCTTCCCATTAGGCAGCCATGTTGTTTCTCAACAAGACAAACGATTCCGCGGACAGCTGTGCTGATTAGACACTGATGGCCGAATCCTGGGAGAAGAGGAGACTGTTTTTCTCGCTCGGACGCTTGATTCCGCACTCATTCCCACTCGAAGATAACTAATGGCAACGCGCTCGGCCGAGTGCCGACGCTACTACACTCGCTACTACACCTAGCTCGGCACTTACACTGCCCAGCGACGATGATTCGGGCTCCGATATTCAATTCGGTGTCATTAAGCCGGAACGAGGGAATTCTTGCGTCATTCTCGCGTTCATCGCCCCGGCGAGCCACTTCCACCGGAACAGTTGCTCTGGTGCAATAATTCATCGACTTCGTGCTCCGGTTCTGTTGATTGCGTCGCTCGAAGGACCTCTCAGAAGGTCGAGATCTCCGAAGTCTTCATGTCGGAAATTGGATTCGGAACTGAATTCAAACCGGATGCTATCCGATGTAAAGTATTGGCAGGCCATGACGTTCGAAAACCCCAGAGACTCATAGAAAAACTACCATATTACGTGAGCCGGGGCGCTCGGAGTTAGAAAGCTGCAGGACGGTCGGAGGCTCACGCTCGGAATACCGCTCAAGCCTCGAATTTCGGTCCTACGCCATCAGACTCCCTTGAATACAGAGAATGTTCTCCGATTTCCGAAACTTTGTTGCGATCAACGGGTACAGCAATCTCGCCGGAAGTATCATCATTCCGGAATTCTTCGAACATCAGGCTGATGGCTATTTTGCCGATGTGATCCTCGTCAGCGGCAGAAGATTGTTGATCGAATCGAGCACGTCAGAAAGAGTATCGACTCCCTGAAAGATCCGAACTCTACTGTCAGACTCGAATTTCGCTTCCCATAACCCAACCGAAAATAGAATCTCCACGAGCAGAGAGAGAGAACTCCAGCCGAAGATATAAGCATCTCATATCTTTCTCGGTTGGCATCGGGAGTGTAGGCTAGCGTCGTGTGCGCCGCTTCCCCGAATCAGACAGCTCCTATGGCATGACGAGTCGTCGCGCGAACCAATAAGTTGAAAAAGAGTCCACCGTTCTTTCTGCGACGCGACAGTGACGCTGGAACGACACGATGGACAAGTTTCCCATGGAAACTAAAATCTCCGGAAAGCTCCATTGTGAGTGGAAAAGCTCGGGAATCCGAACTCGATTCCAGGTGTCCGATTCCGACGGTTTTTCGGTTCCGCCGACATCTATTCTAAGCAGGTAACGTCCTAATAGAGTTTTGTTCGGTCGGCGCTGCGGAAGCAGAAGCGAATGGTCAAAGACGCAAGAGATCGAGTGATTCTCGTTTCCTTGAACACGGCTGACCTTAAGCTGTATGTAAACGGGGCGGATGGCACGACTCCTCAAATATCGTGAGCCTTCCGGAAGAATTCCGGTCCAACAATTCAGGACCCCCGGGTCTATCCGAATCGCTGAGAGGCGATCTCCCTCACGGCGAAACCGATTCCCGGGATGGCGATGAGCCCCGGCGGAGAGCAGTCATACAAGTACGAGATTCACTCGTTGTTCGAGCCCTCTTTCCCGGGAAGAGCAGGAGAGCATCAAACAACAACAGGAGCAGCAGCAAGCCACAAAAAGCAGCATTCGGGCTCGTCTTCGGTGAATCGATACAATGTACACATAAATGCCAGACGTTGGGGTTTTATCGAGCGTTCACTTGCTGCACAACTCGCCGGAACCCAGTGAGCACCAGGAGGGGATCTATTTCAGAGGCTACGTGCTCTCGGATTGATGTGCTCCTGCTCAAACAAAAATGTTCTCATCCCATCATGACCTTCAGTGACCTTCTTGTGTCTGGATTCGCGCCATTTAATGCGAGAGAGCATTCTGGCGAAAACACTCAAGCAGAATCTGGGAGATATGTACGCTGCCTATCGTACACTCAGCGGAGAAATTCCTCCAACAAACGAGAAATTCTGGAAATGGCAAACGAGGTAAACAGCCATTAGATCGACGCGATCTAGTGGGCGGGACCCTCCTCGCGCATAACGTCCTACAAGAAGTCGTTTCCTCTGTCATACGACCGGAGCCGAATCCCCCAATCGCTGCTGAAAAGGAATTCTGTGGCGGGAGCTCAAATTGATTCTGTGCCTTACGAGCCAGACGCCAGCTAGAGGCCGCTCTCGAATCTTACGTCCTGAGGCGCTAATTGAGGGAATCTCCCTCTCGTTCGGGACTCGTGATCCGAGTGCGGGGAACCAGCCTCAAATTACCTTCTGCCAGAAGTTTGAGGCGAAATTTATTCGAGACTTCCTCCTCTGTGAGAAGCGTTTGGGAGCCGATTGCGACTTTAGGAGCTATCGATGTTTACACCCCGACAATTTCGGGCTGAAAGCGAAACATCCAAGTGATCAGCTTCGACGAGACGAATGAAAGTGTTTGCTAGGACTCGTCGTTTATTACTCTCTGAGCAGCCCGGTCGGCTTTCTCGAGAAGTCGGTTAACCGGCCCTCCGGCGACCTGCGGCTACCACTGAAGGTCGCTTCCTCACCGCTTTTCTTTTTGAAAAAAAAAACAGCTCGAGACTCAGGTCCCGGACGATCGCCAACTTTCGAGAAAATTTTTTCACGCGGCCGATTTAATCTGATTCAGGCTCATGGCACAGCGATCGTCATTTCACTGAGGCTCCTCAAAACACAGCTGCGCAAGTCATCAATCCGCACACGGTGCTCATCGGTGTACCGGGAATCGATTTCGCACCTGATCGAGCATTCGGGAATCTCTCGATTCGCTGATCAATTCAAAGCCGATCAGAGCCGCATGCCTTACGACTTACGGACCCGAAGCTCGCTTCATTGCCCCGTGTTTTTTTTCTCTCAAACACGATTTCTGTGGCGCCTTCAATGTGTTTTATTCCTTGCCAGAGAAACTATTGTCGGATAATCACGAGTACGAATGTGTTCAAATGGATTCGGGGATCCGTATAGCTCAGATTCATTAAATTCTTCTCGTATTCGGTTTTGAGCATCTCGATACTCGAAAGGAAACTCTTTATCTAGTTCTGGGAGATATGAAGTTCAATTTTCCGGAAACGAGTTCCCTGGTGTGAGCGCCAAATGTCTTCGTTTCTGAAGGACTTTAATCGGCTCAGAAACTATGCTTCTGGAGAATCGTCCTGTTGAGGCTTGTTCCTGACGTCGAATGAGCATGATTGTTTTAAGAATCTAATCGAAAAAGTTAATGGATCCCGAAACGATTCTTCGTTTTGAGAAATTCTCCTCTCGACAATCCATTCTGGATCTGGAATCTTTCCGTGAAACTGACGAGAACTTGATCCGGCGACTCGAAACTCTCTGGGGACTCTGTTGCGTCTTTGCTCGTCATCTATCCGCTGAGAGAAAGCAGTCGAAGGAGGTCGGCCGTCCGGTCTTCTTTCGGTTGACGGTCGCCTCAACCCCCCGTGGGGTTCCAAATTTTAAACGACGCTCACCGGGAAATAAGAGGGAGAATTTCTCAGATATCAGAATGTCACGATCACTATTGGCTTGAGACCGAGTCTCTTAGCGAAGCCCTCTCTCAGAGAAGAGATTTCGATGGATGCACGCATCATGCATCGGGGCTAGCCGCCAAGCTTAGACAAACACACACATGCGACATACGTATCACTTCAGTTTGAAACAAGTGTCTGGAGCCAGCGCACGAGCGTCCGCCGGGGGTGACCTTCATCGTTTGTTTTTTTGATTTACAAAGGTTTGTCGCGACACTTGTGTAATCCTAGGTGAAAAACGCCGAGACGAGTAGGACTCAAGCCTTGGCCTGTAGTCCGTGGTCGACGGTGATTGGGAAACGAGCTGGAGTGTGGTGCTCTCACTAACCCTCCCGGAGTCCGATCAATTCATGGAGGGATCCATCCGCGGTGATTGATCCGATGGAAGGTTCTCGGTCGGAGTGATTTCCATTTGGGAACGGGTGCGCCTATTCTAGTTTATGTCCCATAAGGATTCCCGGAGTCGCTCGGCTTCAGGGGCACCTCGACAGAGAAAAATTCTTGTTCTCCGCGCGAGTGAACGAGTTGTGAATTGTGCATCATCCTTCGCGGGATTCCGAGAACCCTACTCTCTGAGACATTGCCCTGATCATAATCTGAGGTTTGTTTTTCGATTGCTTTCAGATTGTTCTTTTTCGCAAAGAATCGCGAGAATGAAACAAACAGTATTCCGTCAGTGCTTCGCGGCTGTATTCGCTGTGTTGTTGGTGAACCACGCCGTCGCCGACGAACTGAGTGAGTATACGTGCTGCTTCGAGTTGCCCTTGGGAAACGCGAGAAAAAAAAACGGGTTTCCCCTGCTTTGCACGGACGAAACCGCGCACCGGGTTCTACTCGAACGTCAGAGCTCGAGAGACAGTCATCGGATGAGACGAGTGTTCAGCTCTCAAAGTAAAAATGTGCCACGATAGGAATTCAGAGTCGAAGTCTAGGTTATTTTTCAGTGTCAGGCTTTGTACAAGCGGCAACCAAAGAGGTTCTCAAAAGCTGGGTGCAGTCGCGAGCCAGAAGGAGTCTCACCGAGGAGCTCACGGCAACCGCGAGATCACTCGGTAATGAAATTTCATCTGGCGCGCAAAACGTGGCGAAATCGATGGCGATGTCACCCTTCTTGTTACCCCTCTGGCTACCCCTGCTGGTCCTGGGTGAGTGAGAGAAGCGTCCAACACCTCAGGAATCTTGAGAATTCTCGAGAGGAGGGGATTCACCCAGGGACATCTTATCGTACGAAAGGGAGGCTAATCGAGAGCTCCACTTGCAGGATCCGCTTTCTTTTTCACTATGGTGTCGCCGCATATGCTGCCCTCAATCATCAAAACTTTCAGTCCGGTTTTACGGCAAGCGAGCCTGATCTCCGGTTCCCTCGGCTTCCATGAGATATCCCGAGCCCTCGACCCAGATGAATTGAAGAGGAACGTGCAGCCAGGTAGATACGGGAACATCCTCAGACACGAAGATAAAATGGAATCGAAAAATGTCGTGAATACGCTCGTGTGGTCTGTCAGCCTCCGGAATTCGTAAGGATATACTCGAAGGTCTCCGCACTGTCTAAATGAATGATTTTTCGCAGGAGAGCTCCTGGAACGCGGTCTCGACGTGATGAGCGTCAAGGACAGTGGCTGTCGTCGCAAACTCTTCTGCGAAATCGGCTCCTATACTTTGGACAAGCAGCCCGCGATGGCGAGATTCCTGGACTTGTTCTCCGACACCATGACCCGAGCTCTTCCCAATTATTCGGAGCCTCTGATCCGGGGATTGCACGGCACCGAATGCGTCAAGCTATATAACCAGTGCGAATATTCGCCGTTCGGGAAGCTCCTGAACTATTACTTTGTCTAGATGCTAAGCGAGTGACTTGACCGAGCCTTGATAACTATATGAGGATTTGAGCTGTTTGGAAGTACAACGTTGTAGAAACTCCTCGAGATATCGCCGGAACTTTTTCCGGTATTGTAAACGTGGCCTTATGGTTTTTGAGTTTAACATGACTAGCTAAAACAATAAAAACTGGTGGTACCTACACCGAGCGGCAGGATCCTCGTGACCACACATCATCTTTATTTCTATGTATCAGCAAAAGCTCATCCGTGGGTCTCTGTATATATCGACGCGAGACGGGAGGTAATGAAGACAAATGTCTGTAAATAAAAGAAAGTTTGTCCAGAGTTGACCTCCGACCTTGAGTCTCTCGAGTTATCTTCTTCCCTCCGATGCTGGACGGCATCCGAGTACCTGTTCTCGTGAAGGGCTGCCTTTCGATTGACGATTCGTTCCCTATTCGTGAACGGATAATTGTCGCCCCCGGATCTTGCGGATGAGAAATCGCCACTCTCTGACTTTCAATCTGATACGGAGCTCTCGAACATGCCGAGGAGAGCCGTCAGCCGCGCCGCTCGGCTGAATGGAGGTCTACGGGGAATCTAAATGCGGAGAGACGCTCATTCGGTGCCGAATCCATACATTTGTTTTCACAGTCGCCTGCCGGCTCGTATCACAGCGACAAAGAATCAGCTCTACCGTTTACATCGCCGGCAGCTACGTGGTTACACAATTTTCCTTCTGAGTGAGCCCGATTCCATTTTGTGCGGAGAGACGCTATTTGCGACATTCGAACGACGCCCTCCTACGACCTACGTTGCTCTCAGATCTCCGTTCTTCGCTGGAGATGCGCGGATTCTGGAGGAATACAATTCACGACGAGCTTTCGCTTCGCACGAGCAACATGAAATTCGAGATTCCTGCCTCCAATATGTTCCGAGATCATACCCATTGTAAGAAAGCGACCTTTTCCCCTGGGATATTGAGATTTTAATTCCGACCGAATGTCTGGGATACGCGAGAGACTTATTCCGTTTGGATCGAAATCTCTCTACCGTTTCTGGGGAGCCAAATCACCTCAGAATATCGCCGATTCTCTTCTCAGGAGCGAATTCCGATCGCTCCATGCGAGCGTGCAGAAGATAAGGATGCATGATTGAGCAAGGTAAATTTCGAATAAATAACGCGATTCATCCAAAAGAGCCGAAGATCGCTCCTTGTCGGCTCATACTGGGCGGACGAAGTGCGCAAATTCCACTTCTTTCAGAAGCCGAACGCCGTCGGACTTATCGAGTTCATCTCCGATGCGTGTAGGCGGCCGACTTCGTCAATGGCGAATCAATTTTCCGACATCAGAATCTTTCAGCGGGGGGAGAGATTCACCGGCGCAATATCGCGGTATCTGCACGTAGTCATCGTGACGCTCAGTATTCACGCGAATGAATAGGATCTTCTCGATCATTGACTCTCCACGAGACTAGCAAACTAGCAACCAATGCTGCTTTTGTCGAGTTCGATCCGACAAGGTTTGATCTGGGAGCTTCTAGATTCTTTGGGACTGCCCGAAACTACGGACCGGCCGATCGATATCCGGCAGAGAAAAAAAATGCTGAAGCGACGGGCACACGACGCGATGAACTCCCACTGAGTTCGTCTAATGAAGGTATTTGGGACTATTGGGAACTATTTCGTAAGAAATAAATGACTGACGGAATCGGTAACCCTTCGCGCGTTGCACCCATGGATAGCTGAGCACTGCGCGTTCGACGTACACAAATTTCCAAACTGCAAAGTGTTTCACGCTGGAGCAATCAGTCTCTCGCCCCGATCGGTTCTCTCCCTCGCAGAACGCCCACAGGATATAAAAGTATGTACGCAAATGCTCCCTTGAGATCCATCGCATCTGGATATTTAGTCCGCCGAATCATCACGAGAAAGGTGAGCTATCCCGTGGTCGAATTTTTCTGCTTCCATATCCAATGCGTGAAGCGAATATGCATCCGGTGTGCGGGTATTTCCGAATCGGCGACGTGACGGAGCGAGCGCGATTGTGGTGTTTCGATTAATCATCGACGGGAGTTTTATACGCACGTTTAGCGTGCGGTCCGAACAAAGTTCCGGCGTACAAAGCATCTCGAAAGGGCCGGACTTTCCGGCTGTCCAGAGCCTCAATAGCACTGCGAGGGCAGTCCAAGTGGGGCCTCGGACTCCGTCCGAGTCTCTCGCGAGACATCGACTACTCCATTCCACGAGACTTCTGCCGAATAGGTTTGACATCGCGAGTCGCTGGTGGGTAGTTTCGAACGTTTGGGAACTCGTAACGATGCTCGACATGTCGACGAAACTGCCCATTGAGCGCAATTCGCGACTCCGATTTGCTCCACTTCACATCAGTGCGTTCGATTGCGATCCTCCACGTTCTCCAATCAGGTGCGCGAGAATGCGTTGCTGTGCACTCATTCGTCCGGACCCGAGTCGACCGCGAAACCTCAATGGAGACCGCGCGTGGACGAGACTCGGTCCCGACGATTCAGGGAAGATTCTCCGATCCCGTACCGCTCATTCATCTCTGGCGGCTCGAACGACTCAATCTGCTCGCTGCTCTGTCAATCACGAGTTTTCGGACTTGCGAAAGCGCTGGACACGCGATGCGGATCTCCACCGAGTGAGGGGAAGAACGCGCGTTCATGTATTCTATTATTTGTCAGATGTATTCAGAAAGCCAGCGACGCCCACCATTTCGGAGCCATTGATCCTGACAACAAAATCGTGTGGGAAGACTATTCTGGTCCGCGGATTATTGCGTAACTTGAACGAGCGAGAATGTCTGCACATCTCTCGGTTGATCTGATTTACGACCTGAGAAGTTCTAGGGCATTCGAGGAAGCATCAACGTCTCGTGCAAACTCAAGCTCACATTTCGGTCTTGTCTCAGGATGACGTCACTCACTTCGGAAACCACGGCAATCTACGCCCATCAGTGTCCGAATTTACGGGCGAAACTCCCGTTCATCAATTCAACGCAGGTCGAGAAATTGGAAGAACACTTCCAGCAGGACAAGAATCCTCAGATAGCTGATGTCGTGATCATAGCAGCGGAACTCGGCCTGCCTGTTCAGGCCGCTCGGGTGAGTTATTCAGGATCTTTCCGTGGGGATGAGGAGGCGCTCGGACAGCGAACCACGAGCAGCCCGCATTTCTGGATTCAAGCCAGCCGAGCTCCTTCTCGGTCGCGGAATATGTACTTGCCTCGTCGGGACCTGCCCACACTTGCCTTTCGGAAGTTTGGTCGGGGAGTGTCGAATTTCCGGGGAGCTTCTCTAGGCGCTTGCGACGACTTCCCTCTGTATGCCCATTTTCTTCGCTTAGAAAAAAACCTCCCTTGATCCGCGGGTAGCGTTGTTTCGTCCCTCGAAGTGAGTTTCGAATCTGCATTGCTCAAGGCGGTCTTGTGTCCAAGCTTGTCGCGGCTTCTGCGCGGAGTCTCTTCCCGGCTCGCATGGGTACTCTGGCATCTGATTCTTTCGAGGGAGAATAATGAAATCGGGGCTTCCCGACGCGTCGGATAACAGTCGAATTATTCCATACTTGGAGCTGTTCTGCGATAATCCTGTTTTGCAATTCCAGATTTGGTTTGACAATCGTCTCTCGCAATGGAGACAATCCCAGGGACTTTCACCCAACTGGAAGCTTCTGAATCATGCATGAATCGTCTTAAAAATCAGGAAATCAATACATCAGCACAGACAACCCCCGTGATGAGCGACCCGGGATAAGGGAAATGATTTTCAGAATAAAACGCCCGGTCATCAAATCGACATCGCATTCGAATGTAGACGTTAGGAGGAAGAAATTCCTCTGAGGCTCCCTGTTTTGGAATTTATTTCCCGATTCTACCGGATGTGGAGCTCGCTCCAGCCCGGACTGCCGGTGTTGGCAGCTGACTCGCAGTCAGCGAGTATAAAGCGGTAGGCTAGTAGGCAGGTACCGATCTAACTACGGAGTCGACATCAAGACTTTGTTCGAGCTGTCGGAAGCTCCGTCCCATCAAACAGGATAAGCCCCAGTGTCGTGGGATTACCTGCAGGAGGAAGCGAGGCGAGAGGTTGATCTTCCAATAGATGGTCCTCTGAGGAGTACGGAGAGAAATCTCTAAACGAGATCGCTCCTGATAAAGTTTCGTGACCGCTTGACAGCGAGATTCCGTGGCTTTTTCCGTCCGGTTTCCTGCAACACTCTCAGCGGATGACGGAGGTTTCAAGTATGCCCATGATGCTGCGAATACCCGGGGATAGGCCGAGCGTATCATTCAAGCTGGATCGGATGCTTGTTTATCGGATGATCCATGATGAGATCAGCATACATTCGATCAAAGACGATCGTCGCTGGAAGACTGGAAGTTCAATTATCGGAAAACCTATTTACTCCGACCTGGCTTTCGCACGAGCATCGCTCCGAAGCCATCAAAGCCGATTCCGCGTTTGACCAATTATGGCTGATTGAGGTGATACGATTCGCCAGTAATCCAGTAAAGCGAGATTCTGACGACAACAACAACAGATACTTTGTTCGAGCCGAAGGTTGCGCTCGGAGCCTCTCCGGGTTCCCCGGGAGCGTCAAAGCGACTACAGGGCGGCGGTCAATCCATTGTACCAGTCAGGACGATTAATCAGGACAAATCGTCCGCCCGCTGAAGTCTAGAATTCCCAATGATCTCCACCTCTCGACGAGTCTCTCGAAGGCTGACGGGGTTGAATGGAAGAAGCTCTTGATTTATTCGAGAGGAGATAACTCAAGATTTTACATGAAGCTCCTTCGAGAGCCCAAAAACGAGAACGGCCGTCCCGAACTGCCGGAATGAGATTTCTCGCAACGAATCAAAGAACGAGAGGGGTCTGGTGATATGACGACAAGCCCGATCAGTGACCATCGTGTCCTGAACACAGTTCTTCACACTGTTGGACGTAGAGTTGTCGCTCGGCATATTGCCGGACCAGTAATCTCCGTCGGCGAGGCTGATCGTTGTTCGTTCGCATTCGCTCCGTGAGGAAATGGCTAAACGGATAGAGCTTTATTGCGTAACATCGCTCACTCCTTCTCTCCATAAACGGATTAACTCTTCTGCGAGCAAAGACGACAAGCGCTGACACCCTGATAAGCTGTTCTCCGTTGTTCAGCCCTCCCAGCCGATTCTCCATCCGCTGCCGAATGCCGATGCCAAACACCCAAACAACCCCCGAGCAGGGCGCAGGGGAGCGATCCTAATCTAGCCGCTTGGAGTTTTTCCCCTTCCCCTTAGCCTTGGGCTCCTCTGATCGTTTTATCATCGGTGAACAGAACACATCAGATGCATTGGCGACATCAAATTTATTGGCTATCGTGATTGTCATATTTCAAGTTCAATACTTGCACAGCATTCGTTTAATTGCTTCTGTCCCGAACCACTTTGACCCGGGTCTAGGCCGATCAGACTTAAAAATGTAGAATTCGGGATCCCGGCTTAAGCGTCTCTCGATATTTTCGATTGAACTCTGTCGAGTACTTCAAGGTTCCCTCCCTTAAACATGGGTCCTGACCACCGACACCATGTCGACATTGTGTGTGGGGGCCCGCTGAGGGATGGTCACGGGCAGGATTGACTTCACAGGACGAATTACGACCGGGCTCGTGATTGCGATTTGTTCAGAACGGAATGTCTCGCTTTTCGACGATTTGGTGAAGCTGGCGGAGGACGTGGCTACTGTCGTTGAGGTAACCGAGGAAAATGAGCTTTCAGGCGTGTCCGAGTGAGCAACAGTGCTCTGAATCACTTTCATCGATTGAGAAAACGCGGGAGACGCCTTCGACGGGAAGATGATCGTGGGTTTGATTGGGTGCACGCGATGGATTCCACCGCTTGGAGGCTTGGCATCCTGCGATGCGGCGCTTTGCAGCTGCTCGATGGGTTTCGCGGGCTCGACTACCGGACTTTTCACAACAGGTTTCTCCGTGGATGGCGATGCTACGGAAGTAGTTTCAGGAACAGTCTCTGTCGTGGTGGTCACTTTTGGAACGGGAGTCTGCACGGTCACCGCTGCGATGGAAGACTCGGCGGGGGAGTGATCAGCTTGAGCGTGGCTCGGAGCCTCTTGTGGTACCGGGGTCGTGACTGGCGGAAGGACCGCCGGTGACGTCACTATGACTGAGTTTTTGACGACAGGCTCGATCGTGGCCTCGGGGATGGGCTTGACGATTTCGGTTGGACTTTCGATCTTGGGAACAACAGGAACCTCAGCCTCGAGCGTCGGGGCGACTCCAGCTTCTGGGACTTTGGGAGTGACGACGGGGGACGGAGCTTTTACCAAGGGAATAGAAGTTGTGGTAGGAATGGGCAGCAGAGCAGGTGTAGAAACTGGCTCAGGCGAGGAGACGAACGGAATTGTGGTCACGACGGCTGAAGGTGAAACTCCACCAATCGTTACCGTCTCAGGAACCAAAACCTCAGGCACAGTTACTGGGGCCGATGTTGCCGGAGCAACCACTGCCGGTTTGACATCGACTGGTGCCTCGTCGACAGGAGCGGCCTTCGCTACTACACTGTCGGCAGGGACGGCCTTCGCCGCTGTGATGTCGACAGGAGCGGCCTTCGCCACTACAATGTCGACAGGAACGGCCTTCGGTTCTACGGTATCGACCGGAGCGACTACCGGGGCCGTCGATTTGGTCTGCACTGCAACAGGGGTTTTGACATCATCTGCCGGAACGATCGATACTTTCGTCTCGGTCGGGGGAGGCAACGTGGAGGGAGACTCTTCTTTGACTTTCGACACGGCCAGGGATTTCTCTTGCGCGACTGGGGTCACAGCGAGAGCTGGGGCTGCAGCAACGACTGGAGCTGTGAGCGGCAGATCCTTCTTCTCGGCCACAGCAGCCACGGCCGCAGTAGGTTCAGTCTCTGAAGTCACGGCGGACTTGGGTTGGAGCTCAGGCGCCGCGTGGGACGGCTGGGGTTCCGCTGTCACGAAGGGAACCTGCGCGATCTGCTGAACGGGACTGCTCTCCGCAACGTCCAAACTCGCCGTCAAATCCTTGGGAAGTTCGGTGATTTCGGGAGATGGTATTTTCGCTGGGAGTGCCGCTGGCCGAACGGTCCCGACAACGCTCTCCGTAGTCAAATCACTTTCGCTCCCGACAGTAGTCGATTGAGGTTTCTCGGTCGGTGTGGGTTCGATTTTACTCGGAATCGAGCTTGTCTCAACAGACACCCCCGTGGGCGTCGTCGGAGAGCTACCGTTGACTGACACGATGACGTCGACAGATTCCGAAGCTGCTCCGACAGGTTCGGGAGCAGCTTGAACGATGGGTTGCGGTTTCAGAGCGGGAACCGATTGCTGAGGATGATGCAGAGGTTTCACGGTCTTGCTCTTGTCAGGAAGGTGGTCGAGAGGAATTTTAATGGGCTCTACGTTCTCGTGAATCGAGAGTTTGGGGTCGCTGCGTTCGATTGCCGCAGGTCCTTGAGACTTCACTACGGAAGAAGTTGACGCCGGGGAAGCTTCGACCGGTGCCGCCGTCGTCGTCACGGTCGAAGCTGGTGAGGGAGCCGCAGTCGTGCTAGCCGTTTGAGCGCTGACTCCGTGGGGTCTCCTACGCCGCTGGATATCAATGAATTTCTGCAGAGAGGGAATTCGGATTATTTTTCTCAAATTGAGGCCGAAGAAGAAGAAAATTGATAAAGTCCTAGGACACCTGGACTAGAAGGAAACAGCGGTCTTTCCACTGTCTGGAAAGGGAGCTCTCGCCCGAGACTAATTATCGATTGATGATGAATGCTAAATCCATCAATACCGATTAATTATAATTGTGGATTGATTATTATAAATAGATTGATGATAATCAATCGTATTATTTTCAGTCTTATTTCTCTGTCTGGGACCGAGAGCCTACCTTCAAGCGGCTGCAGACGTTATTGACGTATTCTTCGGTCTCGTTCCAGAAACGCTCAGTCCGACGGATTCGGTCCAGCTCCTGGAGCGCATCTTGACGGAAGTTGAACCTGACGAAAGACGGAACGAAAAAGCGGCGCGCGTTGTCCTTCGCGAGGGTGGTCACACCTCCTCCGACACTGTTCAGGAGCAGGGTCACTGGCTTGACGACATTTTCCGAAAGTTCATCTGCAAGATGAATGACAGGGATGATTTACGACTTGACAGGCGGAGCGCGTCCTAGCCGTGCCCGCCTCCAATCTGGAGATTCGATGGCGGCCCGGCTCTGAGTCTTCGGTGTACTGAATAAATTAATTGACGGGGCGAAGCGCCTATCGGTATCGTTTTACTAACTGGAGTTTTTCGAAGCGTCCTGGTATACGGCAGGGGTTGCAGCGGTCAGGATGGTGGAAATTCTGGCAACGAGTGCAGGTATGGCTACTTCGGCATCAACCTCCGTCGATACGACCAGAGCCGGGTGATCTGAAATGCGAAAACGAATTCGAAAACCTGAAATCCGATCTGAAACCCATAGCTAGACTCCGATCAGGGACGGAGACAAAGCACCTACGTAGACAAAGTACGAAGAACTCACCAGATTTCTCGGAAATGTGATTGACGCCGTCCGCGACGTCTCGAGCCACTTCGGCCGTGGGGGCCGCTTGCGCCAACCCAACAGCCAGACATAGGGCACCGGCTATAGCCCAAAAGGTCGTCATCGTCACGACCTTCTCTGAAACAAAGAGAAATGGCATTCTGAGATTCGGTGTCCAACCATTTGGCTCGTGATCGCTGAGGCATATAGAGGTCCAGTGATCCGGAGGTGTGCGTCACATCGAGCGTCACCCCGAGGGAATTCACGGTCCGGGGAGGAGGGAGAGGCCGCGGCGACAGAGCGAGCTGCTGCGCGACATTGAGAGTCGCCGATTCAGAATGCAAAATTTGGGATCGTTGAGTCACCCCCATAAAATATGAGTGCTCACTTCTTCGGACGCGTTGAAAACTTTCGCCGAAGAATTCCCCTCATGAAGAGCTCGGCCTCTGAGTACCCGATTTGCGTGACGACCTTTGCCGCGAGCGATTTCGATGACATGCGTGGACGCCGTAATTTTTTTCGCAAATTGTGGGCTCCTCCCATGCACCGCCCTACGGGTTCCTCGGCAGCAGCGCTTGCGCACTTTTTGCGAGATTGGAACCCTGAAGACGAGATATCTCATAAGCTTTCGGACGACGTTTCCCAGACTTGGCAGAGGACGGAGTAGTGACCACTGGCAGCTGTCGGAATGACGCCATATGCAGGCACATATCCGATGACCCTACGATACACTCCAAGGTTCCGTGGGGTTCTCCCTTATCTGACTGAGATTTCATCTGAGGACTCTTCCTCATCAGAGCGAACTACATTCTCTCGATTGTCATCAAAAAAAGCACAAGTCATCGAAAGCACCCTGTGGGCGATGTGTCTTGACATCGTCGTCCTGTCTGACGTCAGGTCGGGGACGTAGAAATGCAGGCTCCATGCAGATGCTCTACTTCGGGAGCGGATGACGCTCATGCAGTTTTTCGTCAGAAGGCAGTCTTTTTGACATCGGTGTTGAGAGAAAAATCCAAGAGAGACACTCACCCGATCAGATTGACGCTGAAGACTGGTCAGGTAGTTCACTGGCACGCGGTTTTTGAGGAGCTTCTGTCTGCCACTGCGTGAGGAGGCTTTATGTGTGCCCCAAGGAATGCGAGCTTTGCAAGGGGTGCAGTGAAGTGTGGCGTCGAACTCGGAGCTTACTGCTGTCGCTGCTGATGCCGCTCTGTCAGGGGTGAGGTCGGCTACGACGATGACTCAGCCAACTGCGCAGTGAGTCGCGGTCGCCATAAGAAAACCCAACTCCACGACGCTGACTGAGACAGGCCAATGACTATTAGAGCCCCACCTATTTGCTTGGGACTTCGGAGCTGGCGGACAACAGTCGCCTCGATTGATCGGCCGGGAGGAATAACGGAACCGCGCGTATTCCCTTTGATTCGGTCGCGCTCTTCTGGGAAGCGGAGGTCGATCCTCTTGACTCGTGGCCCGGGTCCGAGCTCGATGCTCACTCTGCCTCTGAGCCTGTGCTTCGAGGAAATTTCAGAGCGTCTTCATTAATGCTGTGCTCCGATTCCGGAGATGACAAACGTACACCGCCAATCGGCTCGTTCGCGGTAATACGAACACTGTCGGACCATCGGTCAGACAACACGAGGAACTTTGGTTCGATCGAAGTATTGGGATCCATTCGGATCGCAACACTTGATTCCCAGAGCTGCACCCTCTATGGAGTCTGGATCCGACGAGAACGGTCGGGGCCGCACCCCGACACCGATAAATGCATCCAGTCTAGAATTGCCCTCGAGGAGCCGCTCGCTCCGACGTCCCGAGCATCAGCTGATCCATCCCGATCTCGCGCGTGAGACGGACAACGCTCGATCCGTCGGCGTTGTCTGGACAAAGGTTCTTCTGACCTCGTCGTCTCGTGACAGATTCCCTCCGCGAAGCCGAATCTCTAGACCGAGCGAATGCTTCATCTGGCCCAACCCCCGACTGGTCATCGTTCTCGAAAGATTCTCTCCTTGTCTGGAACTGGTAATTCTCCCTTCACTCGGTTATTCATGTTCCACATTCTTCAGTTTAGGATTCTACCATTCAGATGGCCTCTATGATATTCATGGACCTGGAAAGGAGTCGCGGAATATTCCACAGCGTCTGTTATTTGTCTGATTTTCAAATGAGTTCACTTGGGAGACATTGAGTCCTTCCTGGAAGTCGCTCAGCAGCCTCTCGAGGTTTCCATTGCCGCCAGACGCTCGAGGTCTTCCATCAGATCTTGTTCGCGCATTGAGCAACGAATCGAGCGAGGCTGCTGGTGGCTCAGATCGATACCTCACGCAACTCCATTGTATCCATCGACGAGTGGCTGCGCATGCCGAGGCCAGAGCGGATCGCTATTCAAGTGTCACGAGCAGCTGAATCGTACAGAAATCCCCCATCGCGGGTCAGAATGATCCACAACAGGAGATATTCTAGGGATCTCAGTGTTCGCGTCCTAGAAAAGTGCTAGAGAGCGGAAGCTCGAGCGCCGTCCTGCCGTCATCCAATCGAGAAACTCTTCCAGTTCCTAGTAAGTGACGGCGGGAGCCAGCAAATTCCCTCTCTGCTCCGTCTGGCCCTGGTAGCTACCGAGAGAACATTATGATGGATCGCGTCTCTGCGTCAAGAATCGCGAGGAGAGCTCCGCATAGGATTGATTTATTAAATTCCAGCCGAACAAGTCGCACTCCATGCGCGGCCTGCTCGACTACAGCGTGACACGCATATGCGTTCTATGATATTTTCCGCGACTTCCTCTTCTCGACGCACCCAGTACGAGCGAGGTCCCTTCCACCTCAATTGAGCGATCGCGTGGGAATGTCTTCCTCTCAGGAGCCTCCTCCTGCTTTGCAGTTCGATCCTGCAAATCTAACCATTTTCCGCTTCCAGACTGACATCCGTACTGACTTCAAAGTGCTCCAATCTGTCTCCTTGCCCATCGGTCTGGCTCCCTAAGCGAAGGTTTAATTCCCGCCTTCAATCGACCTCCGATCGTGTGGACCGACGAAGGCCATGCGTATCATCATCCGCTATTTCCTCCCAGCTTCTCCGGCTAGTAGGAGTATAGAGCAAGGATTCGAAAATTCGAGGGAGGAGATAGCGTCGTCCTGTTCCGCTCTGACATGAGTCCTGTCTCCGCGCGTGATTTGGATCAATGGTGGTCTAGCGTGTAGCAGATCTCTCCGGACCGGCTCGGATGCCTCATTTATACCAATATGGGCAGCCACAATTTATTATGCAAAATTGCCTTGCCTCAGATACGAGATCGAAAGAGGGAACTCGTGATCGGTTGTCGAAATCGGATCTTCGCGGGACGGTGCGTTACATCGGCCTGCGCATGGAAAGTACGTTAAACTTTCAGACCTCTCCCCTCATCTCTCCTCGTAAGCTCCAGTTTCCCGTAATAATTCATGCCGACTTGGCGATGGGAATATCCCGCATCTTCCCCACCCCCAAACTCAGGGTTCTTAGTGCTCGAGAGTTCCCCTGCCTGAATGTTCGCTCACCTTCATGCCTTACTGGATGCGTCGCTCGGTATATAATAATGACGACAATAGGTAATGAGTAATAAGATATCGCCGACTTACGGGTTCTGTGTGATACAGTAAAAGCTCGTTATAACGACCCCCATTACAACGAATTTTTCGGAACAACGAACAAGGAATTTCTCCTGCTTTGGCCAGCTCGCCATAGGGATAGTGTTGAGCGGCATTCTTTACAGCGAAAACTCGGTACAACGAACCAGTTTCGTCGGTCCCCTCGTGTTCGTAGTAACGATCTTTTACCGTACCACGATGCGGGAGGCATCCTGTCAGATTAATGGGAGAGGGATTCGAATCGCTCGGCGACGACACATTCAATGAGAAAGCCTCTTCCGGAGGCTGGATTAGTCTCAATGCCGTTCTGCGAAACCCAAGAGCCGCATTTACGCGAGAGCTCGGGAGGTCCAACGCGAGCAAGGATATTCGACCCGAACATGAAAGTTTTGTCTGTTATGTAGTGTAGTAGCTCGCGAGGGAGTGCAGACTCAGACGCCGCGCTTCCAAGGAAAAAATTCTCGGCGATTCTCCGCGCGTACCGAAGAGCTCTCCTCCTGGGACGAATAACTGAAAAGCCCCCATTCACAGAGTCAGAATGAGGCCAAGGTGCTTTATTCTGCCTGAACGATGCCCGGCTATATTCGGGACGTAAAGTGAATCGCCAGTCCTTGCGGAGGTTCTTTCCCTTCTCGCGCGAGAGCCACGGCGATCGCTTTCGTTGTATCATAGTACCTTTTCGCTGCCTCCGAGAATCGTGCCACTGGGGTCGCTGGAGAAGAGGGTCTTGGGGCGAATTTCGCATAGGTGCGCGCTGATCGCGAAAGTCACGACGTTCTCTAGCTCTGCGGTTCTCAACTCTCTCCCGCTCGCGGCACCCTTCAGCCTCTCGGTTTACCCCGCGGCACCCCTTGAGATCAGACTCGGAAAAACACGAACGAATCGCGGGTTCCGGGGGTAGTGGGAAGAATATAGAAACTAAAATTCCGAAAATAAATTCTGCGGTGCCGTGGCACCGAGGTTGACGCACGCTGCTCTAGCTCAACCCTAGGACTCCAGGGTTCTCGACAGAGGTTTCCTCTCGACCCCGAGTGACAGCATATGTTCCCTATCTCCCGGTAGCGTCCCGGCAGCAATCGGAAATCAGGGTCAGTGAATCGCTGTTTTATTATTGTGTCTCCAAACTTTCTCCAGAAATGTACAGAAATGTATCCATGGGGAATATTTGAAATCATGCCTGTGTCTGATTTGCTGGCAATCGATGCGTTTAAGCAGAATAGATTTTCAATGTTCGATCTTGACTGACCGAAGCTACGAAAGAGGCGTGGTGTCCGAATCTCACACCCATGGCTTCGGCAGTATGGTCCTGGAAAGTGGCGACGAGATCCCACTGTTTGCTCAGATACACTCGAACGTCTTTCCCTGCCAGAGCGAGATACTGACCGCTCTGGTCGAAAGTGAGGTCGTTGACGACGTAATTGTCTTCGAGTTGTATCGTCTTGATGTTTTTCAACTTCCGCAGATCCCAGATCTTGACGGTGGAGTCTTCAGCCGACGTGGCCAGATAATAGCCGTTTTCCGAGAAAGCGATACCTGTGATGGGGCCATTGTGACCGGGGAAATAGGCGACGTTCTGTCGCTCTTTCAGATCCCAGATCTTGATCAGGGAATCCGAAGTTCCCGTTCCGAAAATAAGACCGTCGGGATGGAACTGAGCCGCCGTGAGGGTGTGGTTATCCACAGCCTGAGAATCATTGACTTTAGCCAGAATTTTCCCGGTGCGTATGTCGCTGAAGGCCCAGTAGTCGTCGTTGGCGGTTGTCAGCACGTAATCTCCGGTCGCATGAAGCGAAAGCGCCGACACCGGACCATCGTGAGTGCGCAAGAGCTGAATCGTTTGAGAGGTGCCAATGTGCCAAAGGCGGACCGTGGTGTCAGGACTGGCTGTGATGACGTGCTCTCCATCTGGATGGTAGATGGCATGGGTGACCTTCTTCTGATGGCCTTTGAGCACAGTGACGATTTGCTCGCTGTCCTTGTTGAAGATGACCACCTGTTTATCGTTCCCGCCGGTAACGAATTTGGAGCTATCCTTCGGGTTGATGTCGAGAGCCAGAATTCCAGGAGTTGACGAGGCGTGAATCGAAGTCTGAGACTGAACAGTCTTGTAGCTCTTGATGTCGTCTGGCTTCGCGAGTTCCTCGGGAACGTTCCGGCCGCGTTTCTTACGCTCGGCTGTGAGCAGCGTTGCACGGTCTGTGAGTTTCTGGAGACGAATGCAGAGAGGGAATTATTTCCGGAAACCGAGGAGGAACATCCGGGGGAGCACGAGCGACTCGTTCGGACATCGATGGAGTCATCCTGCGAACCGGAAATTCGGAGTGGCTTCTTACCTGAACAACTTCCTGACTCATTCCGATGACCTCGTCTTTAGACGTGGGAGACTCTTGAACCTCCATGTGGACAGCGTGGGCCGCTTGGGGTTTGAGCGTGGCGAGCGCTTCGCGAGCAGCGGTAACCTCCTTCGTGAGTCGCGCAATCACCCGGCAGGCTGCATCGTGTTGGTACAGAGCGTGCGAGAGCTCCTGACGCGCGGTATGCAGCTGTTGCCGCAGCGAGAAGCTGTTCAGCATTACAGCGTCCCATTCGTCCTGTAAATTCGGGGATTCCGAGTCAGCGAGGATCGATCGGCATTTGACTTATACGGCCATTTATGAAACGCCACGAGTAAACAGCTCCCGGCTGGCGCCGTTCCTCACCTGGAGCGCCTTGAGAATAGCGGGGATACTCGTGAGCGATGGTGGTCTCGGCTTCACGAGCGGCGGCGTTTTGATTTCGATGAGTTGCTCGGCCGAAAGCTCTTTCTGATTGATCGGATCACAGCCATTATCTTGAAGGTATTTCAGGATAAGCCGCTTCTCGAACACCGCTCCCGAAACCGGCGAGATCACGGGGCATTCTGGAGCTTCGTCGCTCAACGCGCACACGAGTGCCATTTTCTGAAAAATTCGAAGATCCAAATCAATGACAGTGCTTGCAGTCGTTTTCTCCGTAGGAAAATCGAATCGTCACATGCACAGAATAGAGGCGAAACGAGACGCCGGTCGAAGTTAGGCCTGCACATTCCCTCTCCAAGCGATTCCTGTCACCGCGAAGAACTCACATCAGACGGTGTCTGAGGGGGAACGGATCACTGTCTCTGTGCTTGCAATTGAAACGTTGACGGCCGTTTCTGAGCCTTAATTTCTTTACGGAACAACAATGCTCCAAGCAACGCGCCTAGACTCAGAAACGGGGGTCTAGGACATTTGATGGAACAAAAACAATGGGGAAGGGGAGCGCCAGAAGGGCCGAGCGGAGCGCCAAATTTGAAATACTCAGGGCACTGCAGTCCTGCATATCTTTAGATCATCCAATGCTTACAGGCTCTTCTCCCCCGTTCGATGCTCCCCTCGATGCAGCTTCCTGTCTGTTTAGGAATCGACTATTCAGAGCATGGCACCTGCCGATTCCTCCGGGCAAGTCGGTTGGTTCCAGCAGAAGGGGCGACCGAGTCGGCAAGCGGCGCTGAGAGTCAGCTCGGCGCGTTTTTTCAAAACTCGGAGAGCTCGGGGAGTTTTAGCAACAGAGCACGGAGCCCTCACAAGAGAAAAGACCGAAAATGCTCGGTTAGAGCAACCTGATAATAGACGGACCTTGAGGGGAGGAGGGGAAGAAAGGAAAAAGAGCGAAACATTCCGAGGATGAGGGTTAGGAAGATATAGTATAGTCCGCTGAACGGGACCACATGGGGACCGATCCGTCCTGGCCCGAATAAGCAGAGAGCGGAGAGTTTGATTTATCGCACGAAATTCATCTGGAAAACAAATTTGCGACAGCGCATTTTGGTCCGAAAGTGCGGACGTCGGACGTGCTGCTCATCCAGTGGCCTCTATCGGGCGGGCTATGATGACTTATTCCCTCATCCCCATCTTTTTTCCGGGAGGAAAATTAAGTGTTCCTGCACGCGCCGCGATCACCGTCGCATGATCAGCTCGGTCAAAGGCCGAGCGCAATCATTGGTGTGATGTCGAATGTGGAAGCACTGCGCCATATTTCGCCCGCAGCTGGAAACTGTGCAGAAATCTAGCCAAGGATTTGAATTCGGATGATGTCGATTGATCGTCTACTAGACGACAAGGAAGATAGGGCCTCGCTCGGGAGGTCCACGAGTTGAGAAGAATTCTCAGTGATTCGAAATTTATTTCGTACGCTGTCCCAGTAATCGAATGGCCGAAGAAACAGCTGGGACAACCCCAGTCCGCGGGTTCTGACAACGGCCTGAAACGCTGCCTTAACCCAAACAAGAGCCCTAGTCGATGGGTGAGGAAGTACGAAATCAGAGGAGCTCGTATCGCTCACAAAGATGCGAGAACCAAACGAGCCTGATTCGGGTGTCGTCGTGGTTGTCGCGCCAAGCGGAGCTGCGCGTATCCCAGAATACCAAGAGGGAGTGAGGAAAAGGAAATGAAATGAATACCTCGGAAATGCCACATGCGCCACCGCAACAGACGGAAGCAATGGAGCAGGGGCATTTGCTTCCCGACTCTTGCAGCGTGCAAGCTTGCACGGACCTTCCCGCGGAAGGTTTGAGGAGCCGTAATAGATCGCCGCTGACGGAACGTCCTTCGGGCAAAATAGATATACCGCTGGCGGCCGGACGGTCAGCGGCAACACCTCTTCACCGCTCTTCGAAAGGGCCCTCGAGGTGATACAAACCCTGAAAGGGCTCTAGGCCGCTTTTCCTGCCCAAAGCAGTCGGTTAGTCGCTTGAATAAAATCAAGACGTAAGCAATGACGAATGAGCGGTACTACGGATAGCTTCTCTTGGGCTCAGATGCTTCGTGATGGCTGATTTCATTTTAGATGGTCATCTGGCGATTCTGGGTGTGAACGGGATTTGCCCTAAAATCCGCCTCATCGAAGAATCGGAAAACGGAAGCGAGTTGAGCGTAGTCTACGAACATGAAAGTTGTGGGGATAATACAGTGATATTGGTGAGCTGTACGCCGTTCCAATCACTCAATCATTCGCTCTCCTCAAGTCCCGATTGCTCTCGGATAATATCGGATCGACATTCCTATTATTCACCTTAATGAAAGAATCTCTTATCTTTTAAGTGGATCGGATCCCTGTGTGTCATAATCTCTTCGCAGAGCCCCTTCGCAGGTAAATGGAGCTTCTTGCCGGGAAACAGTGGAGTACCATGGTCTCTGACGGGGCGCCAAGGATAGGCAAACCCTCAACAATGATGAGAGCCTACGAGCAAGTGAATGTGATCCCGAACTTCGTCCTTGAGCGGCTTCTTCCCTGCGTGATCGTCATCAGCGGCGCGAAGAGTGGCATTGCAGTGAATATAACGTCACGGGCTGAGGAAGTCTGGGTGGGCTTGAAATCAGGATCAGTGGGGAATACTGGCAGCTCTTCTCCCTCGCCCCGTACAAGTTTATCACGCGTTAGTGTGGCCGACCGTGAGCTGTTCCGGGGTGCTAAGCGGGTCACAGGGAGGAGGCGTCGTTGCCGAATGCTCGGTGATGAGGCTCAACGCGGAAGGACGACCGAGGACATCGATCAGCTGTCCTCGGAATCTCAGTCAATTTCCAGGTTGCCCGTCCAAGAGTTCTCCGTGTTCATTTTCGTGGAAGCTTTCCGAATAGGGCCCCCGAGATTTCCAGGCTTCTCTCCCCGAGAATTTTCGGAGCTCACTCTTGTGAGGGCCGTGCACTCTGTATAGAGAAGTCTGCGAGAAGCATGTGATACGAACACAGGAGATCCGACTAGCCGCGGAGGGGGCCAGCCGCCGCGAAGTCCCAAGAATTGCACCCCCGCCATACAGTTTCTCTGGGGGAAACTCTTCCCGTGGATTTCATTATGGCACATCGGTCAATTCTCGAAGTCTCTCTCAGGGAGCATGGAGCCTACGCTGAGTTGCTCAGCCATCCTATTGCACTGTGACTGCTCCCTACGGTCAGTCCCGCTTGTGAAAGAAGCCCAGAGTCCTGAAAATCTTACTCAAGGAATTCGGATGGATCTTGGGCGAGCTCGGCTTAAGATATTTCAGCTCCGGAAATCTCTCGCTACGAATCCCGTCTGATCTCCGCGAAGGAGAATCCATCGATCGATGATCAATGGGAGACTCGAACTGTTCATGGCCTCAGAGTTGAGCTTCCCTAAGTACCTCGTTTTCCCTCCCGCCGTGATCCTAATTTGACTCGGGGGGTCAATCGTATTCGTATCTGGAGCGCTGTTCCTCGGGATCTTGACATGGAGAAGAACTGCGCTTGAATTCAATGAACAACAGTGCGATCGTAGATTCTCGAGCGAATATCCAAAACTGAGGATTCCCTCAGCGATTCAGCAGCATAAGCCCAGATCGCGGAGTCTATATCGTTGATTCCACCCGATCCTCTCTCAATTCGCTTAGTCGAGAAACGAGGGAAACGCATGGCAAACCACTCAGTATCTGCTCATTCCTCCTCGCATAATAATTAATCGGCGCCGAAAGCTCGTCCAGGAGCCGCCTCTCTTCCCGATCGCTCGCCATTGGATGAACCGACGTAGAGGACTTTTTGAGTCATTCACCCGAGGGAGCCACGCTGAACATGTCGAAAAACTCCCTCTCCAACATTGATAACATTACCAATCCGGAATATACGGGACGCGTCGTAAACATCCGCAAACACGACGACGTCGAGTTCGGGCGACAAAATCGGAACTGATCCACATGCGGCGCGACGCCGGCGCGAGAAGCTTCGAGCTGTCAGTCGGCTGTCTCGACCCTCGACTAAAGCTCGGTGAGATCAACGATTCCTTCTACACTGGCTTGCCTCAGTGAAGGAGTCACAGAACGACCCGGAGGATAAACGGCTATCTGGATCGGGGCTCACCGCATCGACGCGTTTGCTCTGTCATCTGTTGTATGCGCAACAGAATGCTCCGTTCCTATCCTCTCCAAATATCGCGGCTTTAAGCCACCGCATCCCGCGCGCATCATCCAGGTGAGATAGTTCGCGTGTGACGTGTCCGTAACGTCGTGGATTGACGCGGTCGACATCTCTCCTAGTTTCGTGCTTGCTCCAAGTTGAGTGGAGGAAAGACCGCCGCCGCCGTTGCCTGCACCACCGTCGGTACCGTCATATTCAGCCTTGATCAAGACTCCACAGCTGACCGGCGGCGAGCAACAACAAATTCGCTTTGACAGCAGGTAGGTGCTTAGCGAATCCAGAGAGATGTGATTGTCTTCCGAGAAACCTCGCCCGAGGGCAATCATCCGTGTGATCCGCAAGATGACACGTCCATCGAAACCGGAATCGCCCGAGTGAGCCCTGAGCCGGAGAGCTGAAAGTTCTAGATTGTAGATCGTCGATCGTTTTTTAAAGTAGACGTCCTCTCAGCTACCAGTAGAGCGTTCAACCCTATCTGGAACTTATGTGTTGCGTTCCTCGCGTCAGAGTCCTACGGCAGCTGTCGCCGAATACTGTTCTCATTGCGAGAATTGTCTTTCACTTCGGATAGAAATATAGTTCCGCTTTCCCGGGGCGGCTGCTTACGTGAGCGCTCTTGGCAGTATAAGCCCTCTGCGATATTCTTCATTAAAGCTCCTACACCAGTAGCCTGGATACTGGATATGCGTCCCACATTCGGGTGACGGACGATAATCCCTCTGGGATCCGTCCGTGTATTGAAATTAACTCGGAGCTCGAGTTTTCCTCTCCTCAGCCGATACCCGACCCACTCTATCGATCTAGTGATTTTCCCTAAAGAACTTCCTCGCTGACTGCGTTTCGTAAACGCTCTTTTTATCGGACGATAACGTAGATATGGATGTGCTCCTCAGGATGGCGAGTCTATCCGCGGACCATGGTTTGGATATGAATGCCGCCTTCGGTGCTTTGTTCCAAGTACCGGATACCCTGTACAAAGCCTGGGAAGAAAATGTGCCGCAGAAAGCGCAAGATACGCTGACGAGAGCTTCGGAGGCCAGCGGTGTCCCTCGGAAATACTTGTTATGTAAGTTACGAGCGATAGGATAAATCGAGCGATTTATTCCCTCGGCTTTTCCTTGGATCGTCGAAGGAGTTCTTGCTCAAAATGGAAAGTCTCCGTTTTCTTCCAGGGATTGTTCTCACTTTAGGGTTTTACATCTTGACCGGTAGAGCCGGTGACATCTGTTATCGTCTCGTGGCCACGCTATACCCCGGCTACATGTCGTTTAAAGCGTTAGAATCAGCCAACAAGGACCGATCTACTCGCTGGTTGAAATATTGGGTCATTCATGCTGTCATCGAGGTCGTGTGCTTCTTTACGCCGAGTTTCTTGGAGCGAATCGCCTCCTTATCAATGATGAAGGTAAGTTACCAAGTTTATGGCCCTCATCTTGTAAGTCGAGTAACCCTTCCTGCGTCAGGCGAACAGCATCTCGCTGCCGTTGCGAACCTCCCATTTTCTCGCCATCCCTCGCCTCGCTCTGACTGGAGGAGAAGAGCGAAGTGATGTAATACTCTCGCTGATAAGTCTGAGGATTAGGTGATGTTGCAGTTCGCTGCCAATTGAGCAGCTGTTCGCTATTCACTCGGAGATTGACGCGACGTGATTCTGCGATAACGGCGATTGCCCAAAGAGACGAATCATCGCCATGATCGGGTCGCACCAGAGCTTGCGCTATGAACTCTGAGTCGTCGACGTCCGCTAACGATTCAGAAATCGTGACAGACCTGTCGCGCTCATATCAGGAGTTCTTGGGAGCTTTGTTCCTCTTTTGAGACGCTCCTACGGGCCACTCTCAAGCCATTGTTGTAGTCCGCGTTCCCTCCCGTTGGATATTTAACTGATAGTATGTTTTGAACGTTCCAGAGCGTCTTCGTGTTGTGGTGCATCCTGCCGATCCGGCCGTCGGGAACCGACATCGTTTACGGTAGGGTGCTCTCAAAGTATTACGAACCTTTGAAGAGTTGGCTACAGAGTAAATTCCGCAGCGAATCCCGCGGCGACACAGAATGAGCTCATCGATGACGCGAAACCATCCTGACCTCAAGCGCCGAATGAGAGGCTCACTCAGTTTGTGGTGGTCGGTCCACGGCGGAGCCTGATCCCAATCATAATTTTTTAGATAATTTACCTGCGACTAGCGTGGGTTCTCTTAATCTCAAAGGATAGACTCCGTGGAGAAACTGTTAGAAAGGATACAAGCTGAGCTTGCGGGCACTCCCTCACCTTCGATCGTTTCGAGAGCTAGCCCTCCCGACGCCGATCTTCGTTGTAAATTTTAGGGTTTTTATTATGGTCTGTCACCGTTCATAGCAGTTCTTCCTCGAAGCACGTCGTCACAATTGATTCCCTCGAATAAATTGTTTTCAAAGTGTTCATAAGGAGAGCCCTGAGCTTATCCTTGGCATCTCTAGCTCATCATAGCGACAATCATTCGCGCAATATTTCGCTCGTCTTTCTTCAAGAAAACTTGGGCTCACACAGCGCTTCGCCCCACAGAGTACCTCGGCGGAGTTTCCAAGACCGTCAAGAAACTTGCACTTGAATCCGTGAAGCTTCTCTCGGAGGATAGTTTCCCTGGGGACCGCTCTGAATGCGTTTCAGAAAGACTAGGACGAGCGTTGAGCGATCAGAAGTCAATCAAGGATGGCTCACGCACGAAGCGATCGGCTTGTGGCGATTATCCGATTGACAAAGTTAGAGAAATGCGTCTGAAACATATGCAGAAACGTAAGAGATCTCACCGAGACCCGGAAGCTTCCCTTTCTTCAAAAGGACATCGAGCACCACGAGTCCTGAAAAGACAGAGCCAAGGCGTTACCGCTCTACCGGGCCATGGAGCGCCCAGAAGATCGGGACGAGAATCCTCCGGGTCCATCGTGGTTCCGCAGGCGCCTGCGGTGCAAGGGTCTCCGTCAGTCACGTTCGCGGTTCCTGTCGAAGCGACAGGCCAAGCATCGACTCCTGAGGAACCTGTCAGGACCGAGGTTCCGGTGGGAGCTCCAAGCTCTCCCAAAAGCTCGAAGACGGGTTCCATCGAGGGTTCGAATAAGGGCAAGCAAGCAGACAACTTATTCGAATTGATAAGTATTTGCGCGAAGGTTAATAATGAGATGAAGGCCAAAGCCAGATCACGAAAGGGCAGAGTTTCGTCCGAAGAGCGCAATCGCAGGTCGGCGCTGGAGAAAGCAGATCCGAAACTCCTCGCTTTCATCGACGAGAAGAAAGCTTCCAGATACAAGAAGAAGTAGAAATATAAAGTCTCTAGCAACATGATTATTTCCTGCTCGCGTCTGCGACATTATTCCATACCTTCGATCATTGCATTGATTCCCCCTCGAGCCGTATGACCGCGTATTTCGAGCCCTCGTTCCTGCAGGGAACTCCCAGAGTCCCCCAGTGAGACCCCGAATCAATCGATGCAAGGTCTCATTACCGAGAAATTCTGCACGTCCCCGGAGCTCCGATCGTTCGCGTGGCGCGGAAAACTTGCGAAGCCCTCAAAAGTAGTTCGTAGTCGGGAGACTCGGAATTTCATGCGTTCTTGGAACCGAAATTCAAGGTTTCGCTATTCAGTGAAGTCGAGGATGCTTGCCAACGGTTCAACTGCGTTCTCAGCGTGGAGCGGGCAGTCCGTCTTCCGTATTGTTTCCGCAACGAGATACTGCCAGAATCCGTGCTGGAAAAATGTCGAACCATGAACCGTTGAGGAAGCTTGCCAAGGAAACATCGAGGGACTTCACTTGGCTCGCCGCGAAGGAGAGAAGCCCGGGACAGATGGAATAGGAACATCCCGGCCCTCGGATCGGATGATAGTCTGGAATCCTGATTCTCTGATTCTCGTTTCTCCCTTTAAGCTAGGGTACATGTACGCGAGAACATAATGCATACTCCGGATATCGATGATGATGAGAAATCGATCGATCACTTAGCTTTTCGAAAGTCACCACATTTATTTCTGGTTTTCACCCAGCTCCCTCTCAGTGCAGCACCGAAGGTTGTCGGTCCAACCGTCCTGCCTCTGATCGTGATTATTTCGCTGCGGCTGATCGATAATTTCTATTTAGATTCATAATTTCGATCCGATCGCATGAGGATCATGATTTCTTCAACTGTGTCTCTCACATTCCCCAATCTCCTCCGCCCGTGGGTGCTAACATAGAATGCCCTTCGAGATACAAGTATCTGTTTCAAATCGATCACCAACGCCAAACATAGTGCATCCGAATCGAAATAGGTCCACCTCTGAAATCATCATCGGACCGTCTCGAAAGTTGCTGATAGCTTTGCCTACAGAGCCGCCTTGCTCACAGTTTGGATTCAATCGTTGTCTGTTGCGATCACCTTTTGTGTGTCCATTATTGTTTCGTGTCATGGAGGGCTCTCCGTGGCTGCCGATGTGTGGCACAGGCGACCCGGAGGTTGACGATCCCTGTCGGAGATACCCCCTGCCCCACCCCCTTGAACTACCTCACATGTCCACCAGGAATCGGTCTACCATGATCCGCTTCCATTCCGGCTCTTTAGAGAAGGTGGCCGCCGAGCTACTATACAGCTGACGAGCGGCGATGCATTCATGGACGAGGATATCATATTTTAGATACTCCTCTAACTACACACATGGCTCGTGGACTCACATTTCCTTGAACTGACCTCGGATAACTTCGGATAATTATACCTCGATGACGATGATTATTCGTGGAGTGATTCGGTGATGATCGCAATCATGGGACCATTCTAAATAGACGGCCTCCCATTATGCCGACTTCCAGACAATCACATTTTTCCCAGCGATCAGCGCTCAAATTTTCCAATTAAACGGACGAATTTCTCCTCAGTGTTCCGCAGTGAATCTCGATAGCTCGACAGATAATGACGGGGTGTTGGTCGCGAATCCCGATTGGAACAAGGGATCAGGATGATGACCGTCGACTGATTCCATCGCCGGAAGCATCATCGCGATGGCTCCGGTGGAAGAATGAATCTCCTCGAGAACCCTAGAGACTTTCCGTCCAAGACGTCAACATCACGAGACTTTTGAAGTTAATGCTTCGATGTCTACGAAGGAAGAATAACGATACCTCCATGGAGGAAACCTCGGAACTCTAGAAGACCCTCGAGATGTCGTTTACGAGTTTCGATGGGTGATCAAATCAAGTCAGCCAATCAGCGATTTCATTCGAGAGAAAGAAAGACATATGCGATGTTTTTCTTAAAGTTTTTTCATTTTCCGCATTGCTCCTCTGGTCGCTCATATATTCCAGATGGAAAAGTGTGGTGATTCCTCGCTTTGAGTCCTCCTTCACATTCCTTCTCTACTCGTTACAATCATGATCGATGTGACATCCAAAAATGTTCTTGTCGGGCTGGTATTCTTGTGATTCTCGACGGTCGTTTTTCTAAATAATTTTTCCCCCATCCCATCAAGAATAATAATCGGTAATCATCGATAAGGTCGAGTCACGCTTCCTTCCAAGTGAAGTTTTGGACCAAGAGAGCTGATAAAAATCAAAACAGTATTCGCATCGATCGAGCGAGCGAGCGAGTTCACATCATATTGCAGATCCGAAACAGACGAAGCCACTCCAGAACCGGGATTCGGAGTTGGATCTCCTCCATCTCGTCGTTCCTCCAGATGCCGATTATTCTCGGTTGCGAGGACTCTCTCTGATCGAGGAGTAACGAACCTCGGGACTGAAGCCTAGCTGAGGCACAGAGCTCGCCTGGCTCGTTGATTGAGTTGGGAGGGGGGCTCCGGGCGCAATAGAATTATAGTTACACTGATGCCCGAAGCGTCCGATAGCGACGCATCATCGACCCATCAACCCAGCCGTTCGTGACTCGGCTCGCTGAACAATCCGTGGGTGACAGTTTCCAGGAATTTCACCACATCATTAAAATCATTCATCAATGCTCGTACAGTTTGGAGGTTGTCGCCTACATGTTCCAGCGTGTATTCGAGGATGGTGTCTGGTTGGATGTATTGAGTTTGATTGTATGCAGTATGATCTTTTGTATAAGATCAACACTCGCGGAGGAGAAATTCCGAGCTGAAGGACCTCTCAAGAAAAATTCTGAACGCGCCTTTGGGGCGTACTTCACTAAAGTATGCCCTACTTGATCAAAGATCATCCTCATCGTCATCGCCGCCGTTGTCAGCATTATGGATATAACAACGAGGCAGCGCCATATGTACTTATCATCATCATCATATTCTTAATCGTTCTACACGCTTAAGCCGTTTTCTGCTGGACAAACGGTCGCTCCACGACGTTCCTATTGTACAACTGCCTCAGATCCTTGATCCTAATCGTACACGTCTCCTCCTCCGCCATAATTTCGTAAATCAATCATGTCACACCCTAGATCCGGCGTCAATTTTATACCATTAACTAGCTAAAACCCAGTGGCGATGTAATGTCATCCAACCGGGAAACCTCACACGTTTTTCATCATCGATACAACTTCTGGGTTCGAATCATCATCATGGTCATCATCATCATCAACAAGTTTGCAGACAATTCTAGTGGCGGCCGCGGATCTACGACGACGTCGACGACGTCAAGGTGTAAATGCTGCGCCGGCTGCATCAACTTCCATGTTGATTCGCACGCGATAGAGAAACGGAGCGGACGGATCGGAACCGTACGCTATGTGGCGGATGAGTCGCGGCATTGCGATCGAGGGATGTAATTTCACCGTGGACCTCGTTGTTTCGCCGGTTAGGACGACGGGGCCGCACGGGTCGGGGGGAACATGTTGGGGGAAGTAATGTTTGGGATTGGTTGGGGAAAGCGCGGCATCGTACATAAAACCACGGTGGAGAAAAAAAAAGAGTAATTCATCACATATTCAACAATCGTCTGCACTGACGAATTCGAACCCATCGGTCTTCCGATCGATCATACACGCTCAGGCATACAGTATTATCTTGTCTTAAGTTCTTTGATACAATACATAGCTATTTGCAGGATTGGTTGAATGGCTCCAATAATGGTGAAAGCCAAAATTAGAAAAGGATGTTCGACCGGTGTTTTAGCCGTCCTCCTTCGGGGGTGTGAACCAGCCTGAGGAGAGAAGGAATTAAATTAGATATTCGGTCTGAGATTCAGATATCGATGCCGGAAGAACTCGAGGGGTATCGGAATTTCATCGATACGCATCGGGAAGAGAACAAGCCCTGAACTGGTCCGCGGATTCAGGTGTCTGACAGTGGAAATCCCGAGATCGCGCCGATCGTCGACTATTCTACTTCCCGGTCAGCCTAACGCGCCGAGCACGTTATGTGTTCACGGGGTACTGAATGAGAGAGATTCTCCTTACCATTTTTCTCATGTATTTGAACGAGGCTCTTAAAGCTCTGTTGGGCTCTTGCAAGCGAGTACTGTCCTCTATTGCCGCCGAACTGGATGCGTGCTTTGCCTTTTACCAAGGTAGCGGCGATCTGCACGATGATAGCTTCGACCGGATACGCCGAACTCCAACCTTGTTTGGTTAACAACTCCATGCAGATGGCTCCACCGCCCAACACGTAGCCTCCGGAGATTGCAGGTGTTACCACTCGGATAAAAGGGGGCTCGAACGGGTAGTTATCCTGCGAAATTTGGAAGAAGAAATTGAGAATGGACTTGAGGCGGATCAAAGCCAGAGCTCGTTGGACTTCGATGTGGGTATCCGGATGTCATTTGAACGAATATAGGGGGTGCGTCAAAGCGACGCGGTCGCTCACCCTGAACAACATGTTGAGGAGTATGTGGTCTTTGCCCTCCTTGTCCTTGAGCACGTTCATGTCGGAGTGCAAAGGAGAGTCGGGGTCGACTCGGAAGAGCTTCACGTTCCATTCGTAAAGAGAATCGTTCACAAGCTCTACCTCGAAGACTCCGCTTTTGTACGAGTCGCTGCGATACACCTCCTTGAGTTCTTTCATGAGGCGGTCAGTGGCTTGCAGCGATCCCGACACGTTGCCTTCTAGGTAGTCCTTCCGCTGATTCTGCCGCAGTCGTTCTAACGTGACGACGTGCTCCACCGATAGGCCGTCCACTGTAAGCGGAAAAATAAGGCACGGATTGAAACACACCGTCACTGTGTGATCGAGGCTGCTCACGTCCGTCCTTGGCAGGGACATGCGACAATATGTCGAGGAATATCCCCGGCCTGCTTGTGAACGAGGGGGGGGGTTCTCACCTTCTTCCTTGTTGTTTTCAGTGGCGCTCTCTTCTTCCATTTCGATGTGCATATCCATCTCTTCCAGTTCTTCGTCGTCGTCCGAAGGAGCATCCGAGGGCGCCGACGGGGGAGGTGAAAGGAGAATCGCCGATGCGGCTTGCTCCATTTTTTCCAGCTCGAGGGGTTCGCTGAAACTGTGCACTTTACACAACTCCCGCACGAGAACGCGGACCTAGAAAACAAGGATTTTCGTCAGCAAAGGATATTCAACGCTACAGTAGCGTTCAAGTATATATGGCTAGCGCATGGTCGGGCATATAAGGATCGATTTCAGCATTTCTCGAGAAGCGGTGCACGGGGAACTCAAGGAATGACCAACTTTCCCGGGAACCGGATCCCCATCGCTGTATTCTGATCGGGGTGGTACGAGCACCGTCCTGCGGCTCTCGGGCTCCCCTCGCGGTAGACGAACGACTGTCTACGAGACCCCCCTCTTCTAATGATATTTATTTTTTTCGCCTCGAATCAAGTCGGCGGCTGCACCGCGCTCATGATCACGATCATGATCATATCGAGCAATCAGCTCAGCTCAAAGATGTATCCGGATCAATCAGAACATCGCAATGGCGTGGACGCTCCTTGAACCCATGAGACATTCGAAATTTTGATTCAATAGCGTAGGCGCTCGGGCAGTACCGGTCGCTGTTCAGTGAATACAATACCTATCCAGTCACATATTCCATCCACAAGACTGGAATCACGTCAATGGAACGTCGGGCTGGAGTTATCGGGAGCGGGAGATCGGGTCCGAGCGGATCCCATCACTTCTCCCTTCAACTTCCGATTTCTCTCATCGAGAAAAAACATCGGGTCATTCGCAAGAATGCCTTGAAAAGTCCCAGTGAAAAGTATAATAACAGGCTTGCGGATCGGATGACCTTCAGCGCCGAGTTCCGCTCAGAAAACGACCAAACTTGACAACAGCAATTCAAGAGTCCGAAGACATCTAAGGGCACAACAATTTTCGGCGAAAGTTTCACTCCGCATCAACAAACGGCACAAAAATGGAGATCCCTGGCGTAGAATTCCCCCTCGGACTAGAAGTTGCAGCGGAGACCATAACTCATCCGCTATTTCCCCAATTAAGTCGACTTAGGTGAGGGACGTAACACCATGCGATACGAGAATCACATGAGATACTTATACCCACCTGTGCGAGTATATGGTTGTCCGGTCCGGAGGTGTTGGTCAACATTTGCACGATGTTAGTTATAGCAGGATCCTCTGTGTCGCTGAACCATACCGGCGGCGTCTGAGGGTAGGTTTCCTGGAATTTAGAAAAACGACGGAACAGATTAGTCGGGCTCGTGGGGCGGGAGGAGGACGGAAATCTGGTCTCCTATGTAAATACTTCGCCGAATGAAAGAAGCAAGACACGAGACACCTATCGGGACTTCGACATCTCTATCATCTCATCGACTGGCATTTCCCGACTCCTCCTTGAACTCCGAAGCACGCAGTTACGTTCCGGAGTGGTCCGCTGCATGCGGGATTAGGCTCCAGATTGGTAGACGGTCGCCTTCGAATCCAGAGGCCCCAGACAGCCATTGATCCCCCCTAATTGGATTGGTCCTAGTTCGGAACACACGTTGTTGTTTGCGCGCCTTCGAAACTTCCTCTGACTTCGCTCGTGTCGGCCCTCGATACTATTTAGTTACTTTGTAAGTAAGCGACAGCGAGGAATACCCGTAACCGAACGAGCGAGGAACTAGAACAACTTCCACATCGGGAAGTCCGATATCGAAGGATGTATTGGCATGCGACGGAGGAGACCGTCCGTTCTCTAACGGAACGACGTAAAAAAGGGTGCAACGACGGCACCCGATACGGATCTTCCGGCTGTCATAGGGAAGCAGGTACATATGCCACCCGTAATGGAGCTCCGTCGCAATTGAAGACACCTGCATCTGAGGTGACGCCCCGTCGATTCGCTTGTTTCACACATTCACGGTGCAACGACTCGCCTGTGCGTCAAACCTCCATGCAGCTAGCTTCTGCCACGGATAGCAGCGCGGTATCCGTTCGGGTAGGTGAGCCCGCCACGGACTGTGTCATAGGAGCTATGAGCCGCTTGTTTCTGCGACCAATGAATCGAGGGAGCAGAAATCGATAACATGACGCCACGAGGAATCTTTCTGGAGGTTCGATAACGCGGCTTTGATCTTGGACTCTTCACTGACGATTCGCTCGTACAGAGCAAGGACCTCCTCATTCAGAGTTTCCGTTTTCTTCCCTCTAAATCGAGCTGAGTGTCCACGGAAACCTAAAGTCGGATCTCCGGATGACCCCAAGCCCTAAAAGGATCGACCCCTGGCTGTATCCTCTGGGAGCCGTTTGAGCTTCGACCATGAAGAGCAAGGCGTAAGAGTTCGGTTCAGTTCGAGTTTGGAGTCTTCGTCAAAAGAACGGCTGAAAGTCTTGGCAGCGTTTGGTGGACTGTGCCTTCTCAGCGACGCTTATATACAAAAGACTTACGGTGAGAGCCCGCCGCGCAGTGGTTCGTCGGAACGCTATCGGGGAACTTTTCGAATAGGTGAATGACGTCATTGAACGAAGTCATTATGCGATTTTACCTCGATGTTTCTAATTCTTGATTCTCCCTCGACGGACCACTCGAGCTTATAGAACCCGTCTGGAATGGGGATCCTGATCCGTTCGGGAAAGCTTGACTCGCCGAAGACACAGGAGGAAAATAATTGAACTCTCACGGTGAATGAACCGCTTCTCGTGAGCGTACGCGGAACATTCTGGTGAATCCTCGAAGCGACGGGTCAGGGAAGCCCATCCAGGAAGGAGAATGCGTTCACTAATAACGGCCGAGTCCCATAAGATATAGGTAGTTGTAGTCGATGGTCCGTAAGGTTTCAGGCGCAACCTTATTTTACTCACGCAGGTCACGGGATGCCGAGGGACGGCGAAATTGCGGAGCAAGAAAAAGAGCTACATCCCTCAAGGGTTTCCTGCTCGATTCGACTCGGAACTTGCCACCTTGCGTAGCTTTTGCGGCGAGGAAGAAAACCCGAAATGATGCAAGAATAGGAGGCGCGCGACTATGGGCGATGATAGGTAATAACAGAAGCGATAATAATCTGATGATAACATTTCATTCCGAGCGCTAGGGATAATCTCGACGGGGCCACCACCGTTCAGCCATCCCTCTTAAGTCTATAAGCGAATATAAACGGAGCAAAATGCAGACTCTAGGATCGTCATCGTCGTTTTCGCCGTCTGATCACGATAATGATGGCGATCGAATGTTGTTGCGTCAAATCGTCGCCGTGTGTGACCGACTCCCTCCGTGGCTGACTGACTGACTGGATCGTTGGTTCGACGCTCATTCGTTCGCTCTTTGACAGCGTGGCAGACCGCGGAAGTAGCTCAGCTGAAGACGATATTCCACCATCACCCCACATCACACGGAACTTATGAGAACCGTCCGAGTCGCTTGTTGCCCCGCTCTCGCCCGCTTCCGTCACCGAAAAACAGCTACAGTCTTTGTAGGCATTCGTTGTTACTCGTATGGAGTGGGCGCCATAGAATTTCGCAAAGGACTTCGCCCTTGTGCGCACCCTCACTGCTTCTCCCGATCACGGCCGGCTCGTTCGCAGGCGGCTAGCCTCGCTCGGTGAGACGCTTACGCACCGCGCCTACGACACTGCATATCGTACCGCTCAGAAGACAGAAGAGCAGCCGAAAATCGACGAGATTTCAGCGCGACATTCAGTTTCCGGTCGGGAGACGACGCGAAAATAATTCATGTTGAGTCCGATGCCTCACCGAGGCAGGATTATGAACTTTATACCCTCTCCAGCGATATCGAGAGCGGTCGGACCTTCAGCAGGAAGGGGATTCCGGCCCGAGTTTCGAGGGAGAGCCTTAGGTAGGAACATTGGAAGAAAGTTCCCGAAGGCGCGACATCGTACAGAATACGGACGCTTTCTGATAGCGCGTTCCGACTTTCTTCACCCTTTGTGGGAGTCTCGTTTGTAAAAAAGAATAAAATGGGAAATAGAAAGAAAGAAAAAAGAGATTCCAGCAGCGAAGGTCACAACACGCTTTCTCCATTGTCCGGTTTCCCTTGCGGAGCTTGAGAAGGGTTCCATTCGGTCGCCATTGCCGGTTCGCTCGGATGGATAGGTGGTCATATTGCTTGCTCACCCGCCCGCCCGTCCGTCCGTCCGTTCGTTGGCTCGCCGCTTACCGACAGCGCACGCTAGCGCCGACGCCAGCGGCAACCCGAAACGCTCCTGCGTCACTTCCGCGTAAAGGAAGGGGTGACTGATAAGTTGAGTTGCGCGTTTCGGAACTGTTGGCAACAACAACTAACTCCACGCCACTTCAAAAAGAGGAGTTCAACCGCGATGCTTGAACCCTATGACGACGCTCGGCCATTCTAGGCGTTTGTCGGCGCCGATAGAGCGACACAGCTGAATCGAAGCTGGTCCGGGTGATGACACGAGTTGTCTACGGGTTCGAGCATGGGATGGACTTCAGTGATCGCTGCGAAATCCACAATCGATCGTCATTAGTCGGACTAGAGATCTGTGGTATGAATTAATGTCCTTGACTCGTGACTCGTCGATTTCTAGAAAGGAAGAGTCTCATCCGAACGATATCCCGAAAGAGCTTTTGATGTCCCACGAGAATAGAAAACGGTCGCCTTGAAGGTCCCGATGTCGACCTCACATCGAATGTTCCAACGTCTCAACATCGATTGCTCCTCATTTTGCACTGGAACCTCCAGTACACTTGATGTCGCCAGTCATTCGTGTCGGATGAGTTCACTGGCGGTTCAGAAGCGACGGATTTCGCCGTAATCTGATCGAGCTACATCGAATGATTGTCGTGTCCGACCGGAGACAAGAAACGCTCAAAATATATAGCAGCATGTGCACATGGAAACTCGTCAGTGTTTCCTCACGTTCCGGTTTCCCGCGATTCAATGCGCTGGTGGCAGCACTCGCACAGACACAAAAGCCCCAAAACTCGACAGCCAGGAAGCAGACGAGGTCAATGCTATTCCAGATACTGAGCCACCGCTAGAGCCAAACAAACGCTGCGGAGTCAAGTATGATGCGATTTTAATGCATTCAATTTCTTCTCAAGCGAGATGTTTCTTTTCTTATCCTCATTCTGATCATTATTGCGTGCGATTCGAGGATCCTGGATTCCCCTTAAGAAGAGTCATCGGATGGGGCTAGGGTGGGGTCGTGTAGTATGTCGAGCATCGCGATTCGATTCCATGATCCCATGGATCGTTCCATGTGTTCCGTCCACTCCGTCAACGGAGTGGACGGTTCCTGAAGATGCTTCTTCCTGAGCTGCTCCTGAGCAGGGAAAGCAGCTTGCGAGTTTTCGCATCGACCGTCGAAACTGAACTATATTATCGGATGCTCAGATTACGGCAAGGATACGTCTCGCGATCTGTGACGTTGATGTCCCGAAATAGTTCCCCTATAATGAAGCCGAGTTCCCATTTGGATCGTAGGATGAGATGTTTACAGAAAGTGCGGACGCGTGACCGTGCGCCACGGATGTGGAGGACGCTCCTCACGAAATCTCGAATTAATCCTTGGATTAATGAATATCTCGACATAATCAAGCAAAAGATGATTCTGTACATCGGCGGCCGACTCGGGTCTTCGAATGATACGAGCCACCGCATTCTGCCCTGCGAGATGTCCTGTCATCAAGCACACGACAGAATCGAATCGGAGTCAACAGATCCAGTAATGATTAACATAAATTTCACTGTCCCCGCTCCAAAAGCGCATGTGATGACGGTACGAAGAGAGGGAATGACATCGCTCAATCGTTACATCATATTCGAGTGGATTCTATTTCGGAGAGTCTCTTCAAGCAGAGAAAATCCGAGTAAGCATTCGACTTTTCTGGGATACCTTGAACAAACAGCATCCCATCGAGGAACAGAATTCTATCTCGCGTTGAAGAGAGAGAATGCGCCCGCCGACACTGGCGATCGAATGCTCAGAAGTAGTGGGCTCATTCAGAAAAAAAACGTCCCGCTGAAATCGGAAGTTCAGAAAGGAAACGAGATGTGTGAGCGGGAAAGTTCTCCAAGAAGAATCCTTGCACTCGGGGGACCGAAATTACTCCGGAATCGGAAGGGGAGGCGAAGCGTAGCATTCCCTAGAATCTCGGAGAGATGTTCTCTTCCGACTTCCGACCGATGACACGTGATAGCCATCATCTCTCGCAGCGTTAACTACTCTGTGACCTCGACGAACAGGCTCCTAGCTAAATATTCCACCCGAATTATCCGATGATACGTTTCCAGGCTGCCATTTTTTTCCGCCCTACACCGAGTGAGCCGTCATGTACCTTCCATCCGACGCTCGGAATGCGTTCATTTTTCGGATCCGACGAGAATTGAAATAGCGCTAGCTTGTAAGGTCTGGCGAATCATCGGGACGACATGTGACGTCATCCGGCGATGAGTCCGACCAAGTGCGTTTGGTAAACTCGGTCGGTGTCGTCCGCTGAGTGAGTCGAAGACAATTTTCTCTCAGCGAGAGAGGGAGGGGAAAAAGGCGGGGGAAAACAAAGCGGAACGCGATGAAATTTCTCCCTTAAATAGCTTCAACGGTGAATGACACCGATGTCGACGTCAAGCAACATTGTTACACTACAAAATAGCCGTATGCCTCGCACAAGATGAATATCGCTTCTCCCCAGCTGACTGACTGTCTCACAGACTGACTGTTCCGTTTGCAAAACGGAATCGGTCCCTTGCGGAAAGTTCCTCAACCCTGGAAGTTAGTCAGCGCCGCAAATCGACGGGCAATCGACGACGTGGGTAATTCGCTCACGGCTCCGCACAATGCTGCCGTTGATCGCGAATGCTACCGCGCATATACTGCTGCAAGAGCCACCGCAGGGGCCGCCGCAAGTACTACCGCAAAGGCTGCCGCGAAAGCTGACGCAAAGTCGTAACTCGGCGAACGATGACATTCGTCATTCCCTCGAAAGAGTCATTCTATGGAGACGCTTCTAATGAGACTTGGGACTCGGTGCGCGAACGATGGATCGATCATGTCTTGGATTTTTGGCGAAATTCTGTACCGCGGCAGCTTTTCCAGCGACCGATGGCAGTAGCAGCTGGCCTCGTTGAGGCTAGGCTTTGTGAAATGAGTCAACGAGGCGTGACGGAAACCGTATGGTGCAGTGTTCTTATTTATCGTTTGTTTTTCATTCTCCTCCTTCTGTCGGCTTGTCGTTCCGCCGATAGGACGAATTCCTCCGCAAGGAATTCTCAGAGCCTCCTCCACACAGCCTTGTTCGTCAACTCCGCGGGCGGCGCCCACGACTGCCTCTTCGTTCAACCTGAGCAGAACTTCTGCAAACGGGACTTCGTTTCCCAGCTGCCGAGCCGACGGTGAGAGATTCATTCCGTTCGTCGGTGAAACCATCAGAGAGTGTTCGCATGGACTCCGATCCTTCACCAGCTGACTGCAGCACGCTTCTTACGCTACCAACGCCAACTACGATTCACTGATGATGCTCGTTGGTGAAGCTTCCGCGTATTAGTCAACGTTTGGCAATGGGAGCTGCTCGGTTCGGAGAGTTCGACAAAAGTGAAAGCACGAAGTCATCCCTTCCCCCCTCCCGATGCCCATTGGTCCGTGCGTTGATCGCTTATCGACGAATGCACCGCCACTATAGACAACAGCAGCAGCAGCAACAGCAGCAGCAGCGACATCGACAACAACGATGGCATCAGCTGATCCTTCATCTGCTGGGGATGATGCTGCTGGTGCTGAGAAACGACGGACGAAGCTGGGCTCGCTCATGAGGGGGCCTCTTCTTCGACGCCCAGACAGGCTGAGACAGACACCCCTCTGAACATCGCGGTCGCTGCCATTGTCGTGTGGTATTTTCAGAAAATCCTTCTTCTCCCGAGTCTTATGAACTCGCCAAATAGGATCAAGAGTATTCCGTGGATCTACGGCTGACGGCTATTCGCGGACATCCAGTCCGAACAGAGCCGAGGGGACGAAGGGAGGGACATAAAATTCGCGGAGACTATTCTCTCGGCCGGCTGACGGCGGAAAAATTCAGTTTTCTTTTTCCCCTCCGGAAACACAATGGTCATTCAGGCAAATCGGCAGACGGCGTCGACGCTCGGAAATCCACTCAGAATCGGTCCGCGACAATATTTCCAAAGCTCACTCTTAGCCCGAATACTGAAGCGAAGAGGGAGTGCGGAGAAAAAAGTTCGACCGCTTGGCAGTCCCGATCCGTATCCAGAAATCAAAGTCCGCGCAGGCATCCATCCAGGTTTCTCGCCTCGACTACCAATGTGGCTCGCAGTGCGAGTTTCCGACGGTTTCACTGAGTCATTATAGTGGTCGGCGAAACATAGAACTCCGATGCCAAATTGGCTGCCATCACCGTCGGGCCAATGCCCCCGACGGGAAAAGCGAACGCTCTCGCATGCCAAAAGTACCACAATTCAAGCGAATGAGCTCGAGCGATCACGGCCGACCACCGCGAGAAAAGAGAAAAGGTCGATCGCACACAAATTCTGCCGGGCAGCGCTCGGTCTCGCACCCAACCCCGCGCCGGAAAACCAGGAAATCGTACCTAACTAAATCTCTGCCCCCTGCGCGTAACGCGGAAATCTTCGATGGCTGTCGGACTCCCCCGAGCGCTATCGGAGTCATCCTCGGCCGGTTTTTTGAGCATCGTTCCAGCTGACCAACCGTTTTCCGTAATGATCTGAGACGTCCGTCTACAACGAGAGGAGCTTTCTTCGCTATGGATCCCAGGAATATCTCCAGCATGTTTGTGGAATTCGATAGAACCAACGGCCGCCGAACGGAACACCTCTGAGGCGTCAACCGGAATCAGTTCGGTCAATTATGCGATCAATTGATCACTCGTCGGAATCGGGGGAGTATTGCTCGAGATTCTACGACGACCACTCGGTGACGGCGAGTCTGTCTCGAGGAGAAGCTCGGGAAACCACAACTGCGTATATCAGTCTCGCCCGGTCCACGTTCGAGGGTGTGGAACGGAAGGAGGGTTCCGGGATATTCGTCGATCTTAAACTTGCGGATTCACCGCGACAAAGATTCTGAACGATCGAGATCGACGGATCGAGAGCTACATAATACACATGTACATATATCCAATCGAAGCGCAGCGAGTTCTTCGTGAGAATTAAGTCGAAACGAATGTCGTTGCTCCACTTGACAATCACGATGTCAAAGATGGCGATGGTGGCGAGATGCAAGTGACGAAAAGACCAAGTGCGTAGCTCGCTGCGTATGCACACAAAAAATTGTGGGAGCGTTCCTCTCGGCCGGATTCTACGATTTGAGATAAAAATGGAAACTGTGAACATGAAACAGTTTCGGGTGATGCCATCCCTCCGCTCGTATGACCGGTGAGGCAATACAAGCTGAAATGTCGTCTTTCAATAACGGAAGCGAGTATCAAAATAAACTTACTATTGTTGCGCGGAAGCACCGGCCATCTATCCGATTCTATGGCACTGCTCTGATGGCGTTCTCTGATCAACAGAGGAATTCCCCGAGATCGGTACAACAGTCGATTACGATCTGATTTCCAGACCTGTCCTCGACACTCGGTTCAAGTTTTCCGGTCGCATTTCGAAGCTTTCGGAAACTCTAGCGGTCGACGACGGAAATCCCCAGCCCACAGCTGAGTCGAACTGTCGCTCAAATGTTTCTGATGGTTTATTAATAAGACATATCTCGGAGCTCAGATTTCTAAGTTTGGCTCGAAGCTGGCAGGATTGCCGCTTTTCGGCGTCGCCCCGACCGACCGCCCGCCCCCCCCCCGACTAGTCGGCTCAGAGAAATCGACACCGAGTCGCACCGAGGAAACTCAGAGCTCACATCTGCGTCACTCAGACTCGATTCTCCGAAATTCTCTCCGGGAATAAAACAAGTTCACCTGTTTTGCGCACACTCTTTAGAGAAAACCGCGGCCTCGTCGGCCGGCCAAAGAGCATTCATTCCCATGCTAACGCGTAGAGGAAGTAGCGACACTCCAGTACGACAGGCGAGCAGGCAGGCAGCCAGCCAGCCAGTTACCCAGCCATCCATCCAGCCTCGACGGCAGCCAGCAACAACGCACTGGGCATCTCTTCCGTATTGAACGCTCCGCAACTCGAGAAATCCTCAGAAAGGATTCGAGATAACTGTTGCACGTCGCGTTCCGAGCGTTTTCCTCGAGAAACTTACGAAAAATTTCCCCCAGCTGAGCCCTAATTCGATCGGAAGCAGGGCCGAGAGCGGAATATCAGTCGAAGAAGGTGTCACCAAGAGATTCAAGGCTACGTATTCTCGATAAAGGCTGTTCCTTCCCGCCTCGAGCTATCGTAGTTGCGATTCGGGAACTCGAGAAATCGCCGCTGTCCCTTCATTCGCGTTTGAGGCGAAGAAATTCGTCACCGAAGTGGAATCAGTGAGTAGGACGAGCCACCATCGAGCCCCTCCTCAAAATCAATCGAAGCTCGTCCCGCAGTCGCACCTGGGAGCGATGCGAGACAGCCGGGACCTACGTCGTACTCACCGTGATATTCGCGTGGATCTCGTATCGTTTCGAGTTGCGTCCTATGAACCGACAGATTAGCTCGTCCACGGATGCTGTGACTACCTGGAAAATTTCGTGGTTCTTGGGAAAGGACGCTTGCAGCGTCTGAATGTCTTGTTTCAGCTGGAGGAGGCAAGCCATCACGAGCACTGCATTCCCGAGCGAGGCCACAACACCACCGCTCAGTATTTGTATCACGAACGAAAAAACTTCACGAGTGAACTTGCACCAAAGTAGCTCTGCAGCAGAGCGCACAGTAATCGTTCTTGCTCGGAGACACGGTCAGACTTTACAGCAACATGGCGAGCCCGTACCACATCGGCGGGCTGAGCTCCGCCGTCGAAAGGGAAGCGTACCGCGGCGGCGGCCGCGGCAGGGACACGAGCGCCGACGACGAAAACAAAGCCTCGGATTCGAATGGCTGTGGTGTTTGAAGCCGGTGACTACACGGCGAGCTCGATGCTCTGCTCGAGTTTCACCGACTGAGTGAGCTAGATTCCGTTTAGAATCTATCTGCTAGGCGGGAAAGTTCCGAGAATCCAAGGGATTGGTCCTCCAGGGTCGAGTGTGTTCGTTTCGAACAGGGAAGCGTCTGCAGCCCTCTTCACGCGGCGCCGCCTACGCGCCCTCACTACATCTGCACTCGCTGTCCGAAGTCCTGAGTGGCGATCACTTGGATGTGCTGGGAAACCGAGTCTCTCGTTTACGTGACGAGCTCCTTCCGCGAAACTTGAGGTCGTGGATGGGAGAGGAGTTCTCGCTTCGAGATCTCTCGGTTTGCGAATGGAACTGCGCGATTCGATGCTCTGTCTCCCAAGTTTTCCCCCCTCGAGACCTGCATTCCTTCGCTTTCTAAAACATTCTCAGAAGCCACGAGCAGTAAGTCATAGCTCGGAAGGAGCCATGCGCAAGGTCGCACGACTTCCAGTCGCGTCCTTATGTTTTGTGGAAAAGGGCGAACTGGACTGTGCGAATTCGATCCAATGAATTGCTGCGCGAAATCGAAAATCATTCGTTGACATGGGCAGTCGACTAAGGATCGAGAAGATCCAGGCCGTCCGATGGAACCGAAAAGTATGAAGACGACTACTACGAGCGTAGTGTATAAATACCATGCTCGTAGTCATTGAACTGACATGCTGTTCTGAGCGCGGGTTCAATGCTCTGCCAATTCGATTGATCTGTGATCATGCTATAATGTAGGCGTCATTCCAGTAGCGACGGCCGCAGCGGCGGCGGGAGTACATTGCCCTTTCGTTCCGAAGGCCGCATGTTGACCAGAAAATCCAGAGGCAGACCTGAGACGTCAACGAGATGGCACAGCACGGGGCTTGGAAATGTGCGAGGCCAGAGGCTCGCTCTCGCACCCTCAGGGTACAGCCCGATCAAATCGAACATTTTCTCGCGGTGTCCATGAGGGACAGAGTTGAGGGTTTCGCCAGTAGCTCTCTTGAGACTCTTCCGCAAAACTGAAAAAAATTCGATCCCGTGTCCAAGCTCGCAGATCATCTCACCGAGAGCAGGCTCCGTTCCCGTTGAATTCGCGTCTAGTTGATCTCTAGAATTTATCATTCCCGTGGTTATTCGACCGAACGCGCGATTCGGGAACGGCTGGAAATCGAGAGGTTTTTCCCTAAAATGCGAATTACGCATCTTGCGCAATCTCCGAACATGGCAGCAGCAGCAGGTTTTTCTCTGCTAGGAAAACCACCTGACGCCACAACAAGTCCCAACTTTCTCTTTTGACTGTGGTACGTTCGTGGTACTACGCTTCGGATGAGGGCAACCCTCGAGAGGGGAGCTGCTAGTTTTCAGTTCTTGTGAGAAATCTTGGCGTCGGCATCGTTTCCGCCAGTCCCGGAACCGATTGTGGCTCCATCTGTGAATCGGTGCAGTTAGCGATAGAGTTTCGAGGCAGGTTCATGACAGCTTCATAGTTTCCCATGGCCTGGAGACTAACATCAATGTCAGTGGGTCATCGAGGCAGATTCAGGACGCGACACAGTTGCCTGTTTTCGAGGGGTTTCCCGAGGGGACCTCGTGGAGAGGGCCCTGCTCGAGACTCGCGGAAGTCGACACACATTTCCGATACGAGGGCCGGACTCGCTCGGGACGTGATCAGAGAGGTGTCGTCACGCACCACGCCCGAATCTGGGAGTTGCTTGCGTGAGATTCGTCGCGGTCCCCAATCACGCTGCTTGGTCGTAATTCTGATGTCCTGCAGTATCGTGACGTTTCATACGTGTTCCATAAATAGTGAATAGCGTTTTCCATGGGTATATATCTAGTGGATGTCTAGCGAGGATCTTCCCTAGCTTCCCACAAAGGATTTCCCGCAAGGGAAACCGTCTCCTGAAACAGCTGGCGCAGGTGACGAATTTTTTCAGGCCGTCCGCTGAGCCGGCCGCCTGAAGTCTCCATGGATCCTCTAGAATTCTATATGTACGCGTTAGCATCGATCGGACCATCACGTCCCCGATCTGGGAGAAGAAGCGAGATGCCCTAGCCTTTTTCTGAAAGGAGAGAACACAATCTCGAAGCACCTATCTTCTGTCTGGATATAGAGAAGGCGTATCCGAATTGACCTTCCTCATGGTTCCGATACGAGTATCTGAATGTGGTTACACATGCAATGATTCCTCAGCGACTTCTTCAACGATGGTCGAACATGAGAAAAGTCCAATGACCCTTCTTGATCCCTCCGAGTCGTTTGGAAAAATTCAATAATCTCGCGACGACCCGACGACTCCCTTTGCCAGGAGCCCTCGTTGCGGTGTAGTTCTCGGTAGATGTGACATCTGGGTTGCGTGACTCTTGTTATAAAACGCCATCCGTTTGAATCTTGCCGAGTCCCGATCCGAATGTGGCAGCGCAAGCAGAGCATAACTTCGCTTGCAGTCCCGGTTAACGACTCGTCTGACACCAACGGCGACTACAATAGAACTGGAGAACCAGTCAGCCCCGCCATGTCCGAGCGCCGAGAGTGAGCCCTGGCATCACAAGTTGGAGCTATGCTTATATTTAGCGCGAAAAAACTCCCGGGCCGCAGATGATCCGTTCGGAATGAGTTCCAGAGAATTGCCAGATGTTTATACCTATGGTATTCCAAGGTTTAGAACACGTTGAGAATCGCATGGAGGAGACACGTGACTTGAGTCGGTCGGTCCGCAGACAGCTACACATGGGAGGCGCTCGACGGAATCGGCGGAATTCAGGTTCCCCTTTTCCTGAGACTTGTTCCCCTGCTCCGAAGATATGAAGTCGGAGCCCACCTGAGATTGACGTCGGGGGCTATCCCCACCTCTGCCTTCATCGAAATTTCACGCAAAGGTCTGAGCACAACCAGTCGACTGCCCCAGGTCTCAGGACTTCAAAGTGGTATTGCGCAAGCGTACCGGGGCACGGTTGCACCGGATTCGCGGGATGTAGGGTGATGCATACTCCCGCTCCGTTGAGAGGACTCTAAAGCCTTCCTCCTTGATGTTTTTCCCGTAGTTTCTCTCCCGTGAGCTCATCTCTCCATCGGGAGGGCACTCTCCGAAAAGGGACGCCCCCGGAATTTTCGATAAATGGAGCTCCATCCGTCTCCGGACGAGCAGAGTCTCATGGACAGGTCTTGATACACAGGGGTATTTTGGAGTCATTATCGCAACAAGTTCTTGGGAGCATCCTGACGAGACTTCAAACATGTAGAAATACTAATCCCGCTTCATTTGGTTACCCTTATGAAAATGTTGACTGTTCGGTAGGCTATCATACAATGATCGTCCGAGCCCAATATGAGTTCAGCGAGGGCTCTCAAGTACGAAAAATTTTGCGAAAAGTTAGTCTATTCATCCTTTCATATCTACAAGTTCCATCCGAATCAACGGATTCATCATGATAAAATCCATACAGAACAAGCAACGATTGTCCTTCGGCTCTACAGGTAAATTTTTTCACCGAACGTTTAGTCCTCCGGAATGTCTCACGAGAGGTACGGACTGTCAAGGTGACCAAAACCGGCCGCTATACCTCCCTCCTTGCAATGTTTGTCTTTGGTTCTCAATATCCATCCGCAGTCCATCTCATTGAAATAAATTTCTCGCGCCGAAGCCAGGATGCACCTGGAAGATACGGAGTAGCGTTACCGTCGGGGCCTTTCGTTAACCGTAGTCCAGCGCAGCAGAGACAATCCATCGCGAAAAGCTTGAGCACCGAGAGTGTTTAATCAAAAGACGCACCCAAACACTCCCAATTCGTTCATGACATCCGTCAGATGGACTCTTTCTCCATTGACGAGATAATTCTTCGAAGAAAAAGCGTCGATCATCTCCATGGCTATGTATTCCTTGCGATGATCCTCCGGTAAACTCTCGAGGAATCGAGTGATATCTTTCCCATAGATATTGTTCCCTGCGGAAAGCAATCGACAGAGTTATCCATCGAGACCTCAAGGGAAATAAATCCGTATTTATTATCATCACGAAGCTTGATCGTGCGTCGAGTGGAGCCCTCGAACGTACCTCCTCCTTCACGCTGGGGCTTTATCACATATTGTTCTGGGGACTTCATCACCATCTCGAGGATTTCCGGCTCTTCGAGAGCGAAAAGTCCGGTGAAAACCTTGCGAATCCGACGAGCCTGAGCCTTATCGTCGCAGTATCTTTCGAGACTCCCGGGACGAGCCAGTTCTTGTTGGATTTTCTTGCAGCCTACGGAAATTTTCATGTTTCTTGCAGAAGACAGCGTAGGAATAATAATAATAATAATAATAATAACAAAATACTCATGAGTACAAGATACTTATGAACGGAAATACAAGCAAAGTCGAGAGCATTTACCGACTAGATGCCAGGCCAAGTTCGGACCCTTTATACACCGGGAACGTTCGACAGTCTCTCGAGCAGCCCAACTGCGCTCCGTTGGCAGTTGGGCAGGGTCATACCAGGTCCTCATGTAGAGAACCGCGACTTCTTGGTCCTTCACGACGAGAGCCCCGTTTTCCATGATCCGAGCGCTCTCGAAGTCTATGTTTTTCCTATAAACCACCCGATGAGCAGGGACGTCGAATTTCTCGACGAGGAGAAGCTCGAGCTGTCTCTGATCGAAGGGATTGAAGACTCGGTCCTCAATCGCGAAGCAAAGGACCGCGTCTGTGGTGTTGTGCATCTCGACATAAGTTCTCCAGGCTTTGGCCAGGGCGCGCGCGAGGTTGGTCGCATTGTTCTCCGGCGGGCATCTATTCCTCCCCAATTTATCCGCTACGTATTTATGTAACTCTCGTGTGACAACAGAGACTCCGCCGAACGCAGCGGAAATCGTATTGACTTCTACCTGTAATTATTCGAGAGATGAAATCCCTAGTTTTGAAGGCTATCATACGAGATCCGTATCGGTCCCTAAGGAAAGCGACTCACTTGTTTCGCGGCACCATCACGTCCGACCATGTAGTCTGAACGGATGATCGCCAGCGACGGTACGTCTTTCTGAGTCTCTCTGGTGCGTTCATACATGTGCCATAGCCGCCGCGTGAACTCGTCCTTATCGATAGTGTGCTGGAGACTCTCCCTCAAGAAATCGTAGTCGTTCGTGGCTCGATAATACACCGTATTTACATCTTTTTGTAATTGATAGGCCAAGTTGAATTGTTCCTCCGGGAACGGTGACGGCAGGAGAGCGAACGGGATAAAAGTCACCGCATGAGTATACGGTATGATATCGCTTCGACTCCTCATCACCATGCCACGAGCGAACGCGAAGCCTTTCGCATGTTCCGCGAGCTCTTCGAGGGCCTCGCTCTCGATAGGGAGCGGAACTAGCTGCTGAAGGTCCATGCTCCCCTCAGGCAGCTTTTTACCGCAACAACTGTAGAGACTAACTTCGAGAGATCCGATATCTGTGGAAGAAAAAAATTGTCAGCGACGATATGCCTTGGACGATTCCCCATACGAAAAAGATCAGACCTCCTCTGTGACTCGAGGTTCCCGACTCCAGAGGGGGGGACAAGAGAGGACTCGGTTGTGGTTATGTTCGTGATGAAGAGAATATGGTCCAGGGACGAGCGACGTTTTGACACTCGCGGCTATCGCTGTACGTTCGCCCGCTCCCGGAGAGCTCCCTCAATGTGGGAGAGAAATCCGAATCTAGAGATGTTGATCACATCTTCCTGGATCCAAGGGATGAGAGCGGCGCGGAGGGAGAGCGTTGAGATGACGATAAGTCTATCTCTCCCGAACGATATACTGATAAGATGGCGCCGATGATCGTCGCAGTGTCGATCTAGCGGAGAACGGCTCAGCGATCATCTTTCGTGCTTCAATTACCCGATCTCGTTATGCGTCGGCTATTGATCGATACCGACTGCGGAACGGACGACGCGTGTGCCATTCTACTCGCGGTGCGAGTCGCGCAGAAGGATCCCGACATTCGTATCGAAGCTATCACGACCTGCAGTGGGAATATTGAGCTCGCGAAAGTGCGCCCGAACGTGCTGCGGGTGCTGAAGTTGTGCGACGCGACCGATATCCCCGTGTTCGAAGGGGTTGGACGTCCGCTCGTCGAACCTCTCAAAGACGCGAGTCAGTATCATTGCGATGACGGTTTCGGTGGGGTATCCGGTGATTATCCCGCGCCCGAAATACCATGCCCTGCGGAGCACGCCGTCAACGCCATGATCCGACTCGCTCGAAAACTCAGGCAGGAACTGATAGTCGTGAGTTTAGGACCGTTGACAAACGTCGCGCTGGCGCAGAAACTCGATCCCGAATTCCTCTCGAACCTCAAAGAGCTCGTCGTGATGGGAGGCAGCAGCATCGGGTCCGGGAACGACACTCCGGGAGCCGAGTTCAATTTTTCTTGGGATCCCGAAGCTGTTGCCATTGTCGTCAACGAGATCGAGAAGGCTGATAAGTTGACGATAGTCACCATGGAAGCATGCAGGAATTATCCTTTGGATTGGAGGTGGTTCGACTCACTTGACGAGTCGAATAAGTACATTGAGTTCTTGAAGAAGATCATGGGGAGCGCGGCGAAACGCTGGCGAGCCGAGGGACATCTCGGGCTGTACGTTTACGATTTGACAGCTATGGCAGTCTATCTTGACCCCGCTATCGCTACGAAAGCCCTCACCTGCCCAGTAAGTTCGCGACTTCGGTCATAGGGATGCCAGCGACTACTAAATAATTTCTCTCTGACGGAGATAATCTGGAGAAACCTCTCATCTGTTTCAGATCTACGCCGAGCTCCGCGGACAATGGTCAAGAGGCGCGATAGTGCTCGACCGAAGGATTCCGCATCGATGGAACAGAGAGGCGAACGCTCGAATCGTCTCCGATATCGACACTGATCTCCTGAAGTTAATGTACAACCGCATGCTGTGAAGTGAGGACGTCTCATAGACTCCTGAAGTCAAAAGGCTAACCATAGATCCGTCGGTGACTCATGCCGAACTCCAGCGCGATCACAGGCCACGTTCAGGGAAACTCCCATACCAGCGCATTGTTCTGTTGGGGAGCCAATTCGGAATGATTGAGCTCTGGCTCAGGCGGTCTTTCCGTGAATAAATGTTTTGAAACATGGAGCCGCTCATCCTCACCGCAGATTCGGTGTCCCGAGCTAGCGGGAAGAAATCGTTGATGAGGAGCTCCGCTTGTCGCGGTGGAAAGTGGAAACCTCGTTGAACTCGAATCACTCTGCTCGATCCGACACTCTGGATATTTCCGAGTACTCATTTTCCGCATGATCACTACTCTGACTGAGACTCAAGACCTCAAACACTGGAGACGGACGCTGTCGAGTTAGTATAGTGGGGCTCTAAAGACGCAGGAATCGACAATGCCAAGTCCAAGTGCTTTCGGCAAAGTGCCGAAAGATGGGAATCACCCACTCAGCAGACTCCATTTCCCCATGCGAGGAGAATCGAAGAGGGCTCATCCTTACTAACCGACTTTGATCTCGACCAGCGTAGGTTTTCAGGGATTTTCTGTCACCCGACTCCATCGATCCATCCTCCACCGAGAGACCTTCCGGAGCGCGGGAAACCTCCGAAAAACCGAGCATCGCGAACCAGATACGAGAGCGAGACTTTTCGGAATGAGGGAGGGGAACTCCCCATACATTCAATTTCCCTCTCAGACTTTTCCCACTTCCGAAATCATTGGCCGACACCACACAGGTCCTTCATGATTGGAAGCCGGTATGCTGCTCTCCTCGAGACCTTGACACCAAAACGGTCGCTAACCATCGGACAGTGGGTTCTCGGCCACGTGAGGCAGGACGTCGGGAGTCCGAAGAGAAGGAACATTCCTTGCCGGCATGTTCGATTAGATCGCGTGCATAGGAACTATTCCGATCGAGTCGGCTGTCAGTTGACGAACGTTCGCGCATGTTGAGGATCGGTCGGCCTCACCTTCTCGCTGACACTATCCGAGCGAGGCGTTGAAGCGATACATGGGGCACGGAGCCTCTTGACAGAAAGCGATTACTCCACGGAAAAATTCCACACCTGTTGTACGAGGTAGACCCGAAAGTGACGGCCTGGAATGACTGTGGGAGAGCGGAGACAATGATGAGGATGATTGCTGCTGAAAGCTTACGCGCGACCGAGCAGTCTCTCCTGCTCTACCTCCTTCGATTTCTACAAGGGCTTTTGTTATACGAAGGCTCGAGCCAAGACAAGATCACGCTGGATTTCTTTGCTCCACGCCGCTTCACGAATGATGATATTGAATGCGGCTCGATGAAACCAAGTCAAGCTGAATGACAATAGATCGTTCCGAACGACATCGTCTGACGTTCCTGGGGGACGTATCCGAGTTCCCGAAGTGAGTCTCCTCTCTCACACTGGGGAGCTATCTGGTCGTTGGGCTCCGACTGAATGAGATTCGCGACTCCCAAAAGCGCAAGATCCCCCATTTCGGGTAAAGCCCGCTTTCAAAAGAAAAACATGTACACCGTCCGAAATCACTGAGAATTCCCGAGGACTCTCCCACCTTTCATCCACTGCTCGGTCCCACTGACGACGACAGTCGATCCGAGCCCACGCGAAATCTCATCCAATCGTTAGCCTGGGTGCACGGTGGTAGTTCCGGGGGAAATTCAATGGGAATCTCGGAAAAGAGCCCGAGAGCACCGTGGTCCGGATAGAGGCAAATGATGTTCCAGAGCAATTGCGTTTCTCCGATTTCCAGGGATTCCGAACAGCAGAGATTCCAGAGAGGAATTCTTTTATCACCGTAACTCTGACAAGGATACATGCTCAGCGTAGCACAGCGTCCGCCCGTTCATTTCACGCGAGAAGCCCACCAGCCTCGAACTTGACCAACCCTCCCGCATGCTCTCTCCACAAGATGGCAACCTCAAAAAATCTCGCGCACGCTGTCAGTCGCCGGTCGACAAAGTTCTAGCGCACCTGCGCCGGAGCGTTCCACATGGCGAAATTATGAATACTCTCAGAAACGATTTGTTTCTGAGAGACATGCTCCACTGAACTCCCGCGATCCGAATCGGTTTTCTCTTCAAGAGCGCGAATGAATCGTTGAAGGTGGGTTCCTGAGCGAGCTGAGCTCGTAATTTGAGAGAGAAGGAAGTGAGAGCCGAGACCCTGGGTCGTCTCCCAGTCAGTGGTAACACAAAATGTACAGCATATGACGCTCTCAGGATCAGAATGAGTGTTTTGTGGTAAAGTTTTCTGAACTGTACTCTCCTCTCCCCCACTTTCCTCCCGGATCCCACCGAAGCTCATGTACGTGTTTTGTCACGGGTTCTCGAGCCGTTTCCGGAAGAACGCGGACCAGATTCTTCCAAGACTCATATTTCTCCGCACTGGATTTCGCACTCGGACTTCTCCTGAAAATCATCGATATGTGACAAAATGGAGTCCCGAACTGTGTTCGAATGTCATTTCGATTGATCTCATCCATTTAGGAGCATCGGTTTCAGCATGGACCAGCAGAACAAGAGAGCTCTAACTCTATCCGTGGGATTACTGTTCGTCGTCCTTTTCAAATTCAAACCGATCGTGGAGTACCTGAAGAGCTGGATTCCGGATAGATCTCGATCCGATCCCGGTGAGACGGTGGGCGAACGTTGGGGAATGGACCTTCATCCCCGCATTTTGGAGCTCCTACCCGAGCCGAAAAAGTAGACTACTGAATAAGCCGCATGCTCCTTTCTAGATGTGTATTCAGCTCTAGACGCGTATAAGAGGGATTTGTTCTGGAATCTCAAGTTACTGCGGCATTCGAAAGAGAGTTCCGATATCGATGAACTGAGAATATTGGAAGTTTGTTACAATCCTCTGCTCGCCGCGAATTATAAATATTTCCCATACTGTGAGTCGACAAGATCCATGCTTTCGTTGATTCTGGGATGATCGAGTTGGCCGAATACCATGAATCGGAGAGATCATTTTCGAATGCTTTGCAGATAGCACGAGCACAATCGTCTGCGAGGATCGCTCCCTTCGGAGGGTCAGTGAGAAGAGAAGCTACATGACTATCGGCAACCTGGACGCCTTACGAAACCTCGCGGATAAGACTTTCGACGCGGCTGTCGTCACATTCGTTCTCTGCGCTTCGAAGAACTTGGAGCGAGACCTGTGCGAGCTCCGTCGGGTGCTCATCGATGGGGGTCATCTCTATTTTCTCGAACACGAACCTCTTCCTGAAGGACAGCCACTGCGGTCGGAGACATCGTACAACCCGCTTCCGAGAGTCGCCTCATCAATCGCTGCGATTTTCAGGACGAAGCCATATTCTATAGCCGAAACAATTCGGAATCAGCGTTTCCTGCGATGCGAAGTGATACAGAGAGTGCTCCTTCCACAATATTACCCAGATCGAGAGTTCGTGCTTGGATTCGCGATCAAATAGCCAAGAAATCGACGGAATGTTAGTATACACCGGCACGGAGTCCCTAGTGGGACTGAGAGAAGTATCCAGTGAGCCAGGGATTTCAAACAAGTCATGACCCTTGTTCTTCAGCTGGAGACCTTTCATATACGGAGCTGAGTTCTCAGTCCACATATTCTATATACTGGGGAGATGCTGTATACTTTGTACGTCTTGTACATCTCATTTTGGCGAGGAATCCCGAGCATGACCCGGTATTTTGAGGATTTCTAGGCTCAGCTCCGGAATTCTATTCAAGAGTGTCTTTCCGCGTAATTGAGTGCATTCGGTGCTATTTAGCAATGAGAAGAATAAAGATGGATCTGGTTTTACATACATCTCCGGCGAGCTGCATTTTCTCCGGAGCGCTAATCTTGATTCCCCGTAGAAGCTCAGGAACTCATCCCAGGATTGGAATATGAGGTGGTCACCCTGTCTATGCCTATTTTGGGCACGGATGCAGACTCGTGAGAATCGTTCTAGAATATACAAGACGCTCGGACGTTCCTCTCTACTGAGTGAAAAATAATTTCCGGAGCCGAGAGGATCTCGTGGATCGCATAAATACTTCAAGTATCGATCATCGAACCCGAGTCGCGACGAATTCGACTTGGAATCCGACCCTGCCAAGGGAAACGCTGGTCTACCCAGGTAGCTCCACGAAGTCACTTGGTTTCGCGGTCCGAATCGAAGTATCCGCTTGTGAATCCCTTTGAATCCTGTGTTGGATAGAGCTCTCGATCATCGACCCTGGCGGACGATATTTGCCAACAAGCCCGCCGGAAGAATGTTTCAGCAATGTCTCGGGCCGACGATTCCGTCAGAAAATTCGACTTTCGTCCAGTGATTCCTCTTGGGAGATGTGTGACGATCTCCTGATAGCCCTCTTTTTCGATCACAAAGAAGCAATGAGTTTTCACGGTTCAATGTGAAGGCTTTATAACGCAGCCACGGAATGACTGCAATATCGGTCGGAATCTAACCAGGGAACGGGATCTTTCATCGAGGAATGCATCAGAAGCGATCGTGAGATTGAACGACGATATGGGCTAAATCCGGAGCGCAGAGAAAGAAGTCCGGGGCCGACCCATTCTGCGGGGCTGAACTCCGGGCCCACGGAGCGCGGTTCTTGCGCCAAACCCCTCTACGCCCTCGATTGTGGTTGTTCGCTAGGACTCCCCGACAGCTGGGGAAGAAGGGCGAATTCTCAATCTGTATTTGAAGGAGTGGCGTGGGACAGCGGCGCGCTGCCGGACTGTAGAATTGTGTAGTCTAAAGGGCAAATCGCTGTCTTCAGACAATGAGGAAGAAATCGATCGCATTTTCAAAGGGCATGGCGAGAGAAGGCGACGAAAGGTGCGAAGCCGGGAGCTCGCTACGCCACCGCTCAACAAGTGACTAATCGAAGCGATTATAGCTTCCCATTGACTTTGACTGGTGTGTGACCCCCGCTGATCCTCTCCGTGGCACTGAATGAGTGTCCGCCAGGACGGGGATGCTCGAGGCGCAAATTCAAATGCTAACATCAACGATGCACAATTACCGCGGACGGCGATACAGGACACTGCGAGGCATCGGATGAGTTGCGGGGGAACCTCCTTCTTGCTTCTTCCTTGCAGAGTCTACGCAAGTTCTGCCGGTCCGCATCCCCAGAATCGAGAACTCGTCGCTTGATGATTTTTGCCCGGTAATCCTAAAAATGAGAGTCTCGGAGAAGGATCATCCCTCGACGGAGAGAGCAAAGGGAAGAATCTCATGGGCTGCTCGAGACTGAAATGCAGCGGAGCCACGGTTTCCGCAGAAGACGCGGCCTGCGGCCTCGCATCATGTGGTTATTCATCTCGGATCGACATGTTAGGAGCCTGGCGGTCGTTCCATGACCGCATCCTCGTGAGCTTCCTCTACGTCAGAGGATGAGTGCGTTTTTCGCTTGTGAGCAACGTAAAAGGGTTCCCAGCGGAAACTCAAATTGGAGATAAGGAAGTCCCTACGGAAACAGGAAGTTAAAGAAACTCCCCGACGGAGTAGGCTCTAACGAGCTCGGGCGGACAACATTTCTTCCGCCATTTTGCTCACCCAACCTAAAACCGCGCGTCCGTCCCTTGGAGCTAGGTGATTGAGATACGCTTCGTGCTGGCATTTTCGTTAAAACGGCCGTTCTTGACCAGGGTAATATCAAATTATATCCCTCGATTGGTCTGGAAATATCTCACGCGGGCGAGAGGAGCCGCAATATTAGGATTATCGAGAGCGACTTATGAGCCCAGTCAATCCGCGGGTCAAAACTGCTCAAGTGGTTTCACTTTGCGCAGGGGTGGGATATTAATGCGATCAACGAGAAGGAGGTCGACCGTCCTACATGCTTCCAAACATCAGGTTTCGCGGAGTAGCGAGTCCTTCGCTCTTCTCTTTTCCGCTCTCCTCGCTTTGTGGTTCTACTTGGTCGAATGATTTATTGTACTCAAGGGAAATTCTTCGACGAGGATGATGATAATAATATGCCCCCTGTTCGTCCATCCGGAGTTCCCCCAGGCTGTCTCTCAAGTCGCTAGGCCTCGGCTCCCCTCGTTTTTCCTTCAAAGCGTCTTCTCGAAAGTCACCCATTCTCCCTCCCTCCCCACCCACTCTCACGAAAAGATGAAACTCACTTCAGTGTCAGCAAACAATTGAAACAGCGAGCAATCCCTTCATCTCGTTTAGAGTTGAAACTCCTTCCAGCTCGGTGGAGAAAGAAAGCTTCTAATTATTCGGACGAGTCTCTCTGCGACAGACGGAGATTCTTTATGAACACAGCTCTTCTGTGACTTCATGATTATACATCAGACATACATAGGTGGATATGAGCGGGGGAATGTAAAGGGGAGACACTGATTTCAGGCGCGGCAAGGACGGCAGCGTCGGCTCCCTGCCTCCCTAATCGATTAGACTGAAGGACATCGAGAGGCTGAACGAACATTTTGCTTGAGGAGTCGCATCGGGACTAATTGTTCCACACAGATAAATAGTAGAACACAGAGACGAGTTCGGAGCTATGCGTAAGAACACAGAAGGGAGTTTTGTACTTGTGTTTGCCCTCGCGGTCTGATAATAATGATGATGACAATGCCGACGATGATGCTGATGATACATCCTGCCTGAGGGCTCGAGAATGAGTCCGCTGCGCAGCTAACTTAATAGGAAAGTCTGGTTTCCCTGCATTTGACGTTTTTTTATCTTCTTCGACGACCCACCCTCCCCACAAGCAGCCGGACCGTAAGCCAGTAAGGCTCACTCGCGCGTTCACTCACTCACTGCCTGCCTGCTACTCGCGGGAAGACTCGAGTCGCGCGAATTAAGCACAAATTCACCCGTTTTTTCTGCGCCTCCTCCTCCTACTCCGCGTCGTTCTTCTTTTTTATCCTTCCGTCGCCACGATCTGCTCCCAGATTGGAACAGTGATTTGCGAACGTCTCGAACCCGTCGAAAATAGGCAGGCGCAGCACAAAAAGCCTGAGGAGAATGAAGAAGGGAAACATCTCAGACACCGCGTCTGCAGACGATGAATACGCATGAGAACGATTCCGGGGTGGAAAAGAAATTAGGGAGCGATTACGGTGGGAGTCTGGACAGCAGACAGCGGTGTCGACTCGACGATGATGCGATCCGCACAGCTCTTCCGACGCAAGAATTAGCTTGTTTTAACGCGCTTGCGAAGGAAGCATGGAGTCCGGCGGGTATCTTCGTGGGGTATCTCTCTGGGATCTAATCGATGGACTCTCTGGGGTCGTTGAAGCGCTCACCTGTCTTTACTCGAATCGCAGGATTAGATTTCGACTACAGGACCTGTTTCGAGTTGAGGAATGCCGAACGACCAACATTTCATTGGACAAAATTTAATCTCTCCGGTATCGCACCCCATTGATGATGCCAGCTTCCAGATAACTGAGACTTTTAGCCCTCGTGGAGAATTATAATCGCAGAGAACTTAGTGCGTGGATGTCGAAAAATAAGCGACTCTTGCATAAGCCGCGCAGGCGGGCGCTCAGAATCCGCTAGTGGCCCATGCTTGAGGACCGCGGTCCGAACACGAGGAATCGAAGTAGGACGCTGTCTGAATTAGTTTGGGATCCACCGAAAAACTCCCATCTGCAAAAGAAGAAAATGAACACAAAAACGATATAGCTCCAAAGCTCGTCGCCAGCACTCAGATTTCCTTGTTCAGTTCGACCGATGCGATGGTGCAATCCAGGGCAGATCTTGCTCTTCTATGCATTCCGTCGGAGGATCTTGAACCGACACATGGACGGGCAGACAGAGGGCCGGACGAGCAGTCAAACAGATACACCACTGGACTGGCCGCCCCGGAAGATTGGAGAGGAAGAAATAAGCAAACGCTAGAGCCAAGAAGTTTCCCCTCGCCGCGCTATTCGAAGTAAAAGCGACTTCAAGGGCCATAAATTCTCTCGCAGTCTCTCGGTGATTCTCGAAGTTTGTAAGTATATGGAGCAGGCGGGCGAGCGGGGCCGGAGCCGTACACTCGTCGAACGAGAAGAACTATTGTGTTCTTGTTCTTCAGAGAAGTCAATCGCTTTTAATTCAGATCGTTATCTGAACGAATCGTTTCGGAGCGAGATTCTTGGCGCTCATTCCTTAGCTTCCTTTCTGCAGTAGACTGGTGCGTAACGGAGGGATTCGGAGCGGGCTCCGAGGGATTCGCAGCGGAGCTTATAATAATTCAGCCGGTAAACGTCCGGCGGCACAAGTCTCCTAATCGTCCGCTGAGCTTCTCCTACTCTCTCGCGGAGTCTTCCATATCTTGGAAGCGGTGCTTATTGGGAATTTTCGCTCGATATTTAGACGATTCCGCGTTTCGGTCGGAGATTCTCGGTAAGCAACGATTCCTCGAAGGACTCTGCTGCTACTAAGTGCGCGAATCTGGGGATCCGACAGAAGGGAGACACGTACCTGGCCGCGAGATCGTGCCGCGCGACCGACGGCGCGGAAAGAATTGAGGAACAAGAAGTATGGAAGGGAGAAGTAACTGCCAAGTCATTATCCGTACTCGATGAATAATAATTAGCTGCGCCCTAAAAACAGTGATGTCAATCATTTTAATGAAATTCCAGGGCACGCAACTCGGCACTCGAGGCTCCCGCTGAAAATGGTGCAAATTGAAATCCTTCATTTCCCCACTGGTCGTCCGAACTCCTTTCTCCCGACTCCTTACCCCGGCAAAGGGCGAGAGGCTCCTTTTTGGTCTTCCTCC